TCCCTGCGAGAAGCCAAGTTACAGGGAACCAGGCAGAGGGCCTTCTCGGTGGTGGCACCCGCCCTGTGGAACGCCCTCCCACCAGATGTCAAAGAGAACAACAACTACCAGACTTTTAGAAGACATCTGAAGGCAGCCCTGTTTAGGGAAGCTTTTAACGTTTGATGCAGTCCTGTATTTTAATATTTTGTTGAAAGCCGCCCAGAGTGGCTGGGGAAGCCCAGCCAGATGGGCGGGGTATAAATAATAAATGATGATGATGATGAACCTGCTTCAGAAGCCAGCATGCAGCAGAAAGAAAAGAGATTTTCATAATGTGGGTGTCTCTCCCAGTACCGTGGATCTGTTTGAGGGCCAAACCTGATGGCAGATCAGTGGGGTGGTCTCAGGACACCTCAATCAGATGCCCCACTGATGAGCTGAGAGGCCAAAATGGTGGTGGGGAGCCGCTTCACAGCTGGCACTGTCTCTGTGTGTGTGAAACTTGGTGTGACAGGGTTTATCCCTCTCCCCATATCCTTTCCCCAATTTGGGGTAGGGAGAAATGAATCTTACCATTCATCACTTTCCACCATAGCTGTCAACTTACAGATTTGACAATAAGGGACCAGCAGCCTCGAAAATAAGGGATCAGCAGCCAAAATAAGGGATATTCTGGGCACAGGTATGTTCAACTTCTGAGACCCTCCAAGCCAAAGGCAGAAAGCCCAGCTAGCAGCCAAACAAAGCCTCAAGTGGTGGTTCCCACAGCGTAGCAACCTGGCAAAGGGGATGCAGCAAGGAAAACCACCGTCACCTCTCCGCTGGGAAGCACTGAGCAAAGGCGAGTCCCCAGGCAATGTGGCCGATTTGATCGGCACAAGGCATGCAAGCTCCACCCCCCAGTCGTTCTTAGACTCCTTATTGGTTGAGCAACGCAGCCAAGCAACACAGCTGGAGCCTCCCTCCTCCCTGGCCGGCAGGGAGGGAGGGAGAGGAGCTGCTTCCTTTGAAACCCGGGAAATTTAAGGGACATCATCAATCCAGGACAGCAGCGGGACACGGCGCTGGGATAAGGGAATTTCCCGCCAAATAAGGGACGGTTGACAGCTATGCCTTCCACATCACAGCTTGCTGGGCATGTTGTACAGGGCCGGATTTAGGTTTGATGAGGCCCTAAACTACTGAAGGTAATGGGGCCCTTGATATGTCTAGCTGTCCTTTGTCAACAACAAATTGCCGCTGTTTTTTGTGCTGAATATATGCTATATGCTAATTGATGGACCAAATAGGTATCTCAAGCCATTTGCACATGTTGTCATGCAACCAGTCCATACAGAATGTAGGCACCCTATATATATATAGAAAGGAGCAAAGCAGTGATATTTTAGGGAGCAGGCTAGCAGGTGAGGGTCATGACCTACATCATAGGAGCCTACACAACACAAAACACTGTTGCTGTATGTAGGTTTTATTTGTTTTTTATCTTATATTTTGGAAATGTACATCCAGGTTTTTTCCCTTTAATTTTTTTGGGTGGCCCCAATAGAGTGGAGCCCTAAGCTTATAGCTTGTTTAGCTTAAACGTAAATCCTGCACTGATGTTGCATCTCCCATGATGTATATTGGGCTCTAGGAGGCTTATTTGGTCAGAATCGGGTACACACTTCCAGAGTTAACACTAAATACATTAGTTCTGGTAAATGGGCCACCATAGCTGCAAGAGGGCCGTGAAAATTTGTGTCCCAGGCTTTTGGGACTCGTCTACCGATGTACCATCCATATGAAATCCAAGAGACGCATTGGTTGCCAGATATGAAATATATTGGTATTATTTTCAGATCTCCTACCCCAGTATCTCAGTTAGAGGCGGTGATGCTTCTGAATATCTGTTGCTTGAAACCATAGGAGGGGAGAGTGCTCTTATGCTCAAATCCTGCTTTCGGGTTTTGGTTAGTCACTGTGAGGACAGGATGCTGGGCTAGATATCCCATTGGCCTGATCCAGCAGCCCTTCAGATGTTATTAGCGGTGAGTAAAATGGCTTGAGGTAAAGGTAAAGGGACCCCTGACCATTAGGTCCAGTTGTGGCTGACTCTGGGGTTGCGACGCTGATCTCGCTTTACTGGCCGAGGGAGCCGGCGTACAGCTTCCGGGTCATGTGGCCAGCATGACTAAGCCACTTCTGGCGAACCAGAGCAGCGCACGGAAACGCCATTTACCTTCCCGCCGGAGCGGTACCTATTTATCTACTTGCACTTTGACGTGCTTTCGAACTGCTAGGTGGGCAGGAGCTGGGACCGAGCAACGGCAGCTCACCCCGTCGCGGGGATTCGAACCGCTGACCTTCTGATTGGCAAGTCCTAGGCTCTGTGGTTTAACCCACAGCGCCACCCGCATCCCTTTCGGATGTTATTAGCGGTGAGTAAAATGGTTTGAAGCAGAGGGTTAACGGGATCTTAATCTGGACGCCATAGCAGGGAGGAGGAGGGGGAGTTGAAAATTTAGAGCTGTATCTGCAAGATTCCCGTGACTTTAACTTCCAATGCTTTTCCATTAAAGCAGAGCTAAAAAGGGCTTGGTGGTGCGGCGTGCAGCTAGAAGCATGCACCAAATGCTATAATCTCTACTCCAAACAGGCAGCAGAGTCTCGATGCGCTGTCTGAAAGGAGCTGAAACAGACTGTGCTTATGGTTTAGCTCAAGCCAGGGCCCGATCCTCACAACTTGCCTTGGTGCCAAGGCTGAAATATGTCAAAGAAGCAGGCGCGCCAATGGCGCTATGTAAACAATAACTGCAGAATGTTTGAAGTTAGATCTCGGTGCACATTCTTCCCCCTTTGGACTGGGGGCTGTTACTCGTCATCCAGCAGTTGCCAGCATGCCTGTGGATTAAACCTCTTTTTCCCCTCTGTGGGCATTTAAAGCAGTATCAGACCATCCTGCAAATCGTGGGGCCAGATTAACCTGACCTTGGGGTGCCTTTGAGCCAGTGGATTTAGCTGCGATCGCTAAAAGAACCTCAGTTTTCAGTGGCAGTATACCTGAGTATCAGGTGCAGGAAGAGAGAACGAGAAAAGACTAGAACTTTTATATCTGTGCTATGAGTGTCCAAAGAGCTTCTGGTTAGTCGGTCCTGAGCTGCTTGGGTCGTTGAGTTCTGATCCATCCAGAGTATGTATTCCTTGTGTGTTGAGTAGATTTGTAGATTGGGGAGGGAGTCAGATTTGTTTTTCTCAGGCAAAGTGTTATTCAAGAGGTATCGGAGAGCAATGTTTTAAGAGTGATTAATGATTACTTTGTTGTTGTTGTTTAGTCGTTTAGTCATGTCCAACTCTTCGTGACCCCATGGACCAGAGCACGCCAAGCACTCCTGCCTTCCACTGCCTCCCGCAGTTGGGTCAAACTCATGTTGGTAGCTTCGAGAACACTGTCCAACCATCTTGCCCTCTGTCGTCCCCTTCTCCTTGTGCCCTCCATCTTTCCCAACATCAGGGTCTTTTCCAGGGAGTCTTCTCTTCTCATGAGGTGGCCTCAGCTTCAGGATCTGTCCTTCAGCCTCAGCTTCAGGATCTGTCCTTCCAGTGAGCACTCAGGGCTGATTTCCTTCAGAATGGATAGGTTTGATCTTCTTGCAGTCCATGGGACTCTCAAGAGTCTCTTCCAGCACCAGAATTCAAAAGCATCCATTCTTCGGCGATCAGCCTTCTTTATGGTCCAGCTCTCACTTCTATATATCACTACTGGGGAAACCATAGCTTGAACTATACGGACCTTTGTCAGCAAGGTGATGTCTCTGCTTTTTAAGGTACTGTCTAGGTTTGTCACTGCTTTTCTCCCAAGAAGCAGGCGTCTCAAAGGGTACCATTGTCTGACAAACCACAGTGCCATACTCAATTTGTCTTTTTGAAATGGTACACCTCTGTAGCCACCAACACAGGATTTCTGTTTAGTTAACGGAAGAAGGGGACGACAGAGGAGAATATGGTTGGACAGTGTTCCCAAATCTACCAGCATGAGTTTGACCAAACTGCTGGAGGCAGTGGAAGACAGGAGTGCCTGGCGTGCTCTGATCCATGGGGTCACGAAGAGTCGGACACGACTAAACAATTAAACAACAACAAGGGACCGGGGAAGATGGAGACCAACAGAAGGTGAAGCTAGAGCCAACAGCAGGCAAAGCCACTCCCTGTCTATTAAAAATGGAAGCAGGCAAGTGAGGGCAGGCTGTTGGTAGGAACAGCGTCCGATTTGCCCTAATGGACCAGCTTCCACCCTCATCAGATGAAGTCATCTCTGCATGTTTCTTGCTGCTGGCCCCCGGGCATCTGAATAGTTTGAGCAGCACTACCTTCTGAAAGCAACTTATGAAAACACCAGCCCTGCCAGCCACCAGAGATTTTAAAATGCTACGAATTTCTAAGCTGTCCCGCATCTATCCTCCAAAGTTCTCCGAATGAGCTTTAAGTGACAAAAGAACTTGTCTCCCAGCACAAAAGAAGTGGAGGGAAGAACGCTAACCGACTTGATCCGAGGAAGAACAAAATCATATATTCGTAGAATTGGAAGGGACCCTAAGGGTCATCTAGTCCACCCCCCTGCAATGAAGCAATCTCAACTAAAGCATCCATGACATATGGCCATCCAACCGCTGCTTGAAAACCTCCAAGGAAGGAAGATTCATCACCTCCCAAGGGAGACCATCCCACTGTTGAACAGCTCTTACCGTCAGAAAGTTCTTTCTGATATTTAGTCAACAGTGTTCCAGATTCATGCCCTCCACATTATCACAAATCTCCAGAGCTCGGAAGGAAAATGATTCTGCAAACTCCCAGCTATTTCTGAAGGGTTGAGTGAGATTAAATTACTTGCAGTCGGCCTTCACTAATATTTGAAAGGAGTTCTGAATCAGGCTAATAAGTATAGCCAGGGCCTTGGAAGAAATGAAAGGAAAGGAACCTGGATGTCTCAGATTAGGAGAAATTGTTCCTTAAGGACCTAAGATGAACCATGTTAGATCAAGTGGAGGACTGTAGCTCAGTGGTAGAGTATTTGCTTTGCATGCAGACACACGCAGGTTCAATTCTTGGCCTCTCCAGGAAAGGCTGGGAGAGTTGTCTGTCCTGAAACCCTGGAAAGCTGGCTCAGTATTTGTCTGTTTCCTAATTCTTGTACACATCCAGCAATACTTTCAACAGTACAGACAAATATGAGCTACAGACATCACTTTTGGGGCTCCTTGAGGCTGCAGATGCAAAATGTTTACAGTGGGAAAATAGGAAATATTAGCCGGTAAGAGGGTAAGTCAGCCAAACATTTCAACCCGGTACAAGATTGCAATGGAGTTTCTTTGCAGAAATGTGTTCTGAGTAGTTAGAATGGCCCTGTGCGCATGCCAAACAATAAACAAAACTCATTAGCATTGGTACAGAGATTCTAAACTGTACACTTTGGCTTAAAATAACTGAACCAGTCAAAACTGCTTTGCACCAGATGACATTCATTTATTGCTTCCCCCCTCCGCTCCTTGCCCTTTTGTGGAGAAATGAAACCAGAGTCAGGTGGTTCTTTGCCAAGGCTGTTCACTCCAGCAAGAGAGATTTGCTCCGGTACCTGAAAGGAGCCTTCAGACTTTGGCCAGACATGTAACACGTGGGGGTGGAGTAGGCGAAAATGCAGAAACTGAGCACGAGGCAGTTCTAACGACCACCTTACCAGCCCTCCTCCAAAGAAAGGGGTATTCTGTACCAACTGCAGACCCGACACAGGCCTGCATCACAGGCGATGGGGTGGGGGGGCAGATCATAGCTCCATAGTGAGACAGGTATGTGGGAGAAAATTGATTCAGTTCACACTTGAACCTATCTAATTTGCACTTTCTTAAGCAATGTGCAAGGGGGGACGCGGGTGGCGCTGTGGGTTAAACCACAGAGCCCTAGGACTTGCCGATCAGAAGGTCGGTGGTTCGAATCCCCGTGACGGGGTGAGCTCTCGTTGCTCGGTCCCTGCTCCTGCCAACCTAGCAGTTCGAAAGCACGTCCAAGTGCAAGCAGATAAATAGGTACCGCTCCGGTGGGAAGGTAAACGGCGTTTCCATGTGCTGCTCTGGTTCGCCAGAAGTGGCTTAGTCATGCTGGCCACATGACCCGGAAGCTGTACACCGGCTCCCTCGGCCAATAAAGCGAGATGAGTGCCGCAACCCAAGAGTGGGTCACAACTGGACCTAATGGTCAGGGGTCCCTTTACCTTTACGCAATGTGCAAACCGCAACACAGCCATCCTCTAAAATTCACCCATTTTGGCAGTTCTCCAGCCAAGTCATGTGTACTAAGATGAACACAGCAGGGTAAAGTGCGAGTATAAATGCAATATGTTAGGGGAAATTGCTTGGCAAAAAAAAATGTTAGGCAAAACTGGATATTAGGACTTAAAAAATAAATAAATCTCCAACTGGTGTGCAGATGTGGAGAACTGAATCTAAGCAGCGCCAGTTCTGCAGATCCAAGTGGTCAGATGGGCATGTTATGGGCTAAGGCAAACTTGCAGGTAAACTGGTCCAAAATAGTAACACCTTGAACACTGCATATCTCCGAGCACTGGTTATATGCTGACAACAGATGCAATATATAATACTGCATGCAACAGGAGAACTATGTACACCACCTTGAACTCCTTGGAGTAGAGGTGAACTATAAATGCATTAATCAACTAACAGAATAAACTTGTCCGCAGGTTTATCCTAGCAAAAGTTTTCCCAGACCAGCATTCATTTCTTAGCTTTGAGTAATTCTGTATCTTTTAGGAGACATCTGTAGGCAGTGCTGTATAGAGCTTTTTAAGGTTGAATGTTATAGTAAAACATTTTTTTTATATATGCTGGAAGCCGCCCGGAGTGGCTGGGGTAACAGCCAGATGGGTGGGGTACAAATAAATTATTATTATTATTAGAGTAAACTGGACACTAGTGGAGGAGATGGAAACCATGGCTGCTGCCATAATGGGAGCTGAATTCTCAAATGAGTTATTTTATGGGGAAAAATAAATACACACACAAAATATGTGTGTGTGTGTATTATATTATACTATATTATATTATAGTCTTTTTCTTATGATTTTAGCTGTGTTCTGGTCTTTTACCTGACGTGCCAGAACGTGCACAAATAACTACATAATACACCATACTCAGGAGTAGACCCACTGAAACCCGTAGGAAGCCTCTCCGTTCATTTCTGGAGCCTAATCCTACTCCTTCCACGTAGGAAAACAACCCACCCTCATTCTTTTGAAAAATAAATAATCCCCAAAGCGAAGAAGGCCTCAGGCCTGGCAGCTAGGCCTCTTCCCCCCGCGCCGTCTCCTAGCAACCGGCCGTCGGCGTCGCTGATTGGCCGGCGCGGCTCCCGCCGCCATTTTCAAACGGCTTTTTTTTGTGCCGCGGCGGCCGGGCGGCCCTCCTCCCTCAGCCGCCGCCATTAACCATTCTCGTCCCGGGCTTCAGCGGAGGCGAGTCTGGTCTCGCCCGGCATGGAGAGCGGCCCCCTGGCTGAGAAGCCCCCTCTGAGGAGGAAGGGGAGGCGGCGGCGGCAGCAGCAGCAGCAAGCGGCGAGGCCCGGCGCCGCCGCCGCCGCGGGAGGAGCGCCTGTGAGGAGAAGCGACGGAGGCGCGCCTCTCCTCGAGACCCCCGGAGGGGCCCGGCAGGCCGCCGCCTCCTCCTCCTCCTTCTCCTCAGCCGCCTCCTCAGCTTCCTGCGGGCGGTAAGTGCCCCCTCCCACCCCCACCCCCCTGGGTCCTTAGGGTGAGGGGCGGGTGACGAATAAATCCACGGTAATAGGAATAATAGTAATCGACGGGGGGGGGGGGCGGGCGGTATGAGGTGCTGGGGATGCTGACCCCCTCCCCAATATTATTCGCTTCAAAAGGTGGGGGGCGTAAGAGCCTTCAGCCCCCTCCCCGTCACAGGGACGATCCGATTGCATCATCACCACCATTATTGATTATTGTACTATTCAACCCCAGGCCCAGTTTCCTCCCTGAAAAAGGGGAGGGGGGTGGTATGAGATAAAGCTGAGAACCTGCAGAGGGGTCCCCCCTCCCCCACGGCACACCTGTTAAAGGGATGAGTCCAGTACAATCTTATTCGCATTGCTGTGTGGAAGACAGTCTTACTCAGCTACAAGTGACTGCCAAAGAAGAAGATTACCATTATTATTATTATTAGTAGTAGTAGTAATAGTAGTAGTAATATTAGTGTTATTGATGCCCAGCCCCAGCTTTCTACCTGAAAAGGGCATGGAGGGTGGTCTGAGATGAAGCTGAGAACCTGCAGAGGGGTCCCCCCTCCCCCACGGCACACCTGTTAAAGGGATGAGTCCAGTGCAATCTTATTCGCATTGCTGTATGGAAGACAATCTGACTCAGCTAGGAGTGATCGCCAAAGAAGAAGATTACCATTATTATTATTAGTAGTAGTACTAATAGTAGTAGTAGTAGTGTTATTGATGCCCAGCCCCAGCTTTCTACCTGAAAAGGGGATGGAGGGTGGTCTGAGATGAAGCTGAGAACCTGCAGAGGGGTCCTCCCTCCCCCATGGCTCACCTGTTAAAGGGATGAGTCCAGTACCATCTTATTCGCATTGCTGTGCGGAAGACAGTCTTACTCAGCTACAAGTGATTGCCAAAGAAGAAGATTACCGTTATTATTATTATTATTAGTAGTAGTAATAGTAGTAGTAATATTAGTGTTATTGATGTCCAGCCCCAGCTTTCTACCTGAAAAGGGGATGGAGGGTGGTCTGAGATGAAGCTGAGAACCTGCAGAGGGGTCTCCCCTCCCCCACGGCACACCTGTTAAAGGGATGAGTCCAGTACAATCTTATTTGCACTGCTGTATGCCATCATCATTATTATTAGTAGTATTAGTGTTATTGATGTCCAGCCCCAGCTTTCTACCTGAAAAGGGGATGGAGGGTGGTCTGAGATGAAGCTGAGAACCTGCAGAGGGGTCTCCCCTCCCCCACGGCACACCTGTTAAAGGGATGAGTCCAGTACCATCTTATTCGCATTGCTGTGTGGAAGACAGTCTTACTCAGCTACAAGTGATTGCCAAAGAAGATTACCCTTATTATTATTATTAGTAGTAGTAATAGTAGTAGTAATATTAGTGTTATTGATGTCCAGCCCCAGCTTTCTACCTGAAAAGGGGATGGAGGGTGGTCTGAGATGAAGCTGAGAACCTGTAGAGGGGTCCCCTCTCCCCCACGACACACCTGATAAAGGGATGAGTCTAGTACAATATTATTCGCATTGCTGTATGCCATTATTATTATTAGTAGTAGTATTAGTGTTATTGATGTCCAGCCCCAGCTTTCTACCTGAAAAGGGGATGGAGGGGGGTCTGAGATGAAGCTGAGAACCTGCAGAGGGGTCTCCCCTCCCCCACGGCACACTTGTTAAAGGGATGAGTCCAGTACAATTTATTCGCACTGCTGTATGGAAGACAATCTTACTCAGCTACGAGTGATCGCCAAAGAAGATTACCATTATTATTTTTATTATTGGTAGTAGTAGTAGTAGTAGTATTAGTGTTATTGATGCCCAGACTCAGCTTTCTACCTGAAAAGGGGACGGAGAGGGTCTGACATAAAGTGTGAGAACCTGCAGGGCCCCCCACCTGTTAAAGGGATGAGCCCCTATTCGTATTATATCCTTGTATCGTCATGAGTTGAGTGAGTTCGTATTGTATTGTTGTATCGTTATTATCACACACACACACACCCCTGCCCTCATCTAAAAGGATTTCGAGCTGCCACTGCACTCAAATAAAAGAAAATGAATGGCGGGTGAAGAAGCAGAGCAAATGCAACAGTCCCCTATTGCACCACCCATAGCAGTATGGCAAAAAATCCTAAAATCAGAGTGACATAGCCAGCCAGCCGGATTTTTGAAGTGGGCACTTGATATGTGATGTGTGTGGTTTAAAAAAATAATGACACAGCAAGCATCCGTAAGAACACAAGAGCGCTGCTGGATTACAGCAGAAATCCATCTCATTCTGCATCCTGTCACCCACAAAAGCCAGCCAGATCTGTCCCACCCCACCCCTGGGAAGGTCAAAAAGAGGGCATAAACTCAATTGTATTGCTCCCCGGCAACTGGCAAAACTGCATGTTTTAGATTAATGCCTAAGGGACCTTTCCCGATGACACAGAAACTGTTTATGCAGTGTGTTAAAGGTGCAAGTCTTTTCCCTGCCTCTCAAGATGTGTGCCCATTGAGGGGTAGTTAATGCCGCAGAAGACAGAATCGGATTCAAGATGACCTTAACAGATTGCAGAACTGGGCCCAAGCTAACAAAATGAATTTCAGTAGGGACAAATGTAAGGCTCTACACTTAAAGCAGTAAGAACCAGCTGCACAAATATAAGATAGGGGACACCTGGCTTACCAGTACTATTGTTGTTATTACTATTAATTCAATTTATTTACCACCCTTTATCAGGGCGGTGTACAACATTAGAAACATATTACACAAAATCAATGATAAAATCATAATAAAAAGTAAAATAATAATAATAACAAGATAATAATCATCCCCCACACTTTTGCAGGCCATAGATTATTTAATAACCGTAGGCCTGGGTAAAGAAGATTGATTTTGCCTGGTGTCTGAAGACATGTAATGATCTCTGGGGAGAGCATTCCACAGATGGTGAGCCACCACAGAAAAGGCCTGTTTTCTTGTTGCAACCCTCTGAACCTCTCTGGGAGAGGGGACATGCAGGGTCTGGGTTGGTTTGTATGGGGAGAGGCGGTCCTTAAGGTGTTGAGGTCCTGAGCTCTGTAAGCACATTTATATGTGAAAAGGATCTGGGGATCTTAGTGGACCATAAGCTTAATGTGAGTCAACAGGGTCATGCAGCATCACAAAAAGTGGATGCTATTCTAGGCTGCATCAACAGAAGTACACTGTCCAGATCAAGGGAAGTCATAGTACCACTCTATTCTGCATTGGTCAGACCACACTTGGAATACTGTGTCCAGTTCTGGGTGCCGCAATTTAAGAAGGATATTGACAAGCTGGAATGTGTGCAGAGGAGGGCGATCAAGATGATCAAGGGTCTGGAAACCAAGCCTTATGAGGAGGAGGAGGAGCTGGGTGTATTTAGCCTGAAAAAGAAGAGACAGAGGTGACATGAGAGCCATCTTCAGATTATCTGAAGGGCTGTCACATGGAAGATGGAGTGAAGTTGTTTTCAGCTGCTCCAGAGAGTAGAACTCAAACCAATGGCTTCAGATGACAAGAAAGGAGATTCTGACAACCATCAGGAAGAACTTTCTGACAGTAAGAGCCGTTTGACAGTGGAACGGACTACCTTGGAAGGCTGTGGACTCTCCTTCTTTGGAGGTTTTTTAACAGAGATTGGTTAGCCTTGTGTCAGGGATTCCTTAGCTGTGATTCCTGCATTACAGGGGGTTGGAATAGATGACCCTTGGGGGTCTCTTCCATCTCTGCAATTCTGTGATTCTATCAACAACCCGGGCAAGCATCACTCACATTCCATTCAAAACAGTTCATTATTCATTTTTTGGATTTATATACTGCTTTTCTGCTCAGGCACGTCAGGCAGTTTTTAAGTTTAGCACTAAAATGGCTGCGTTATATAAAATGAAGTTCAACATATTCCTCTCATGCTAACTGGGAACTGATAGAATTTACGCTTGCTGCCCTGGCCTCCTTCTCTTCTCAGTTTAGGGAAGCTAGTTGTGTGGAATGATGCACGGGATAAGTTTTTCTTGCAGACCTGATATTATGTCTAAATCCGACCTTAGGTCAGGTCTACTTATGCAGCAGAATGAGGTGGCAGAATCATGATAGGATAAAATAGACTATGTAATTGCAGATGAGGGAGTAATCAAGTAACAAGCAAACACACTAGCACACTAAGGAGAAAAGATCTAACCCAGCCTTCTCCCTGCTGTTGTGCTAGTTGTCTGCTAGTGGGGTGGAGTTTTTTTATTTTAAAAACCAGGTCACATTCAAAATCTGACAACCTTCCTCTCCCCGCAGCCTAAAGTTGTGCAGTACATTCTACCACTGCTAACCTTGACCTCATAATGTTGCAACGTGCAGATGAAGCCTTTAACATGCAACATTTCCTTTATTGCTAGATGGCCTTCTACTAGCCTTTTATTGTAACTTATTTTATTCAGCAGCCAGCAACATACTTTTACTTATTTCAAGTAGGTCAAGTTTTCTTGAGGCATACAAGGACAAACAGGGTTGTTTTAAAGCATTTCTGCCCTGGCCAAGATTGCTCCCATTGCACAGTACTTTATACCAATAGCTGGCTTAATGGAGGCTAAAAATTGAGTTGATAGAGTTGGTCTCCATTATTGGAGCCAGTGATGGGTATGACATCCTCTCTCTTGAATTCTTACATACCTTTTCAGAGGTCCTGGGAAATTTTAAATCATGTCCATTAATTGGGAAGTGAGGAGAGCAGAAGCTCTCTAGGAGCTTAAGTTCAATGCAGGCTTCCCCTTAAATACAGAATGTGTGAGAGACAGGTGGAGAGTTCAGGTGCTGCCTCTAAGGTGAAGGAAGGTGCCCTCACTCCTGCCATTCCTATTGAACGATTCCATGATGTAATAATAAAGGTTAGCTGCCACTTATGCCAGGGTATTCTCAACTTCACATAATATTTGGCCCCAATCAAATAGGCAGCCAGTTGACCAGCATCCCAGCCCTACTCTGTGGATGGACTGCCAACTGGCAGTGTTGAAATGGGATGAAACGTTTGTTGTTACTAAAAGGTAGGTCAAAGCTGGTATAAAGTTATTTTACACAAATTCTGCATTAGCATTTATGGGTTGCAGTGCTTGTGTCCTCTTTGTGTAAGCTAGGAGAACATTAAAACCACTCGTCCATTTTATAGCAGAACTATTCTAGGGTGAGAGAAAGTGACAAAACAGCTTTAGCATTCTGCCAGCCATTTTTGGAGCAATCCTGTACAAGTTTACTAATGGCAGAATGTTTAAAGGTGGCTCAGATATGTGTACCAGATGTGCTTTACTTTCCAAATACACGGTGCTGGGATTTTGAGTATCAGTCTGTGGAACCCTCAAAAACATGCATTCTTGAGTCTGCATCTTAACCATTTTTCTGAATCCCAGGTTTAAAGTGAGTCAATATTAAGTTTAAAATGAGGCTGGTTAGTTGGTTGTTGAAACATTGTAAGATGAAGCACTGTTCCAATGTCATATGGAAAAGAGTTGCCAGTGTCCAACCACTGCCCAGAACTCCACAATACAAATTTTATCATAATATTTCAGAGAGATTCAAACCAGTTGTAGGCCTCTTTGTAAATACACTTTGGGTATACAGTGGTACCTCGGGTTACATACGCTTCAGGTTACAGATGCTTCAGGTTACAGACTCCGCTAACCCAGAAATATTACCTTGGGTTAAGAACTTTGCTTCAGGATGAGAACAGAAATCGTCCTCTGGCGGCGCGGCGGCAGCAGGAGGCCCCATTAGCTAAAGTGGTGCTTCAGGTTAAGAACAGTTTCAGGTTAAGAACGGACCTCCGGGACGAATTAAGTACTTAACCCAAGGTACCACTGTATGTTAAGAAATCAGCCCATCCCTTCAATTGCATTTTGAAATATCCAACTTGCTGCTGCTGCTGCTTCTGTTTATCCCAACTGAATGTCTGTTGTAATGATGCAGAGAGGTTTTTTTATACACTCAGGCTCTCACATTGGGGCACTCCTTACAACCTCAAGCTCAAGGGCACAAAACTCCTTACAGAAATTAACAAGGCAAGGCAGGGTGAGTGGGTGCAATCCTTCCCTGAAGGACATTTCATGCAACACAATACGAAGCATGCTTAGTTGGAAGTATATATCCCATAGTATTCATTGGGGATTAGTCCCAGGAGCCTTAATTAGGGTGTAAAATTACAAAATATAGCTCTATTTAGCCCCTAAGTGCTCTGGATGATTGTTTCAGCATAACTGATTTTGTTTTTATAGTCTGGACTTCCTTAGCTATTCAGTCTCTCCTACCTAATGTAAGGTGTATGGTGTGAAAATGACTTCCAACAGGAAAGCATGGGGTGCAAGTTGTTCTTTTTAAACCTAGGAAGTGAGGCCTGACAAGCAGACCTAAGCGTTATAGGCTTAGATTTAACCAATCCTTGATGACTCTGTAAATACAGTTCTTGAGACACGTAACAGTGCCAGCCTAGCTGTAGAGTGTTGACTGTAAGTCAGCTCCTGACCACTAGATGCCAGTAGATGATAGTGATAACTATAAGAGACTAGGCGTTGTAAAAATTAGCTGTAATGTTAGCAGCCCCTGCCTGCAGTTTGCAGTGTAAACTAGGTAAGGCAGACATGGTTTGGGAAGGCTAGATGCAGAACAAAGCAGAATTGGGTGCTGAACTCCTAAAAGATGGGGAACTTGGGCCTTTTAAAAGGTTGTAGGATTCCCACACCTGTCACCCCTTACTATTCACCATGCTGCCTAGGAATGAGGGAGTCCAGTAACACCTTGAGGGCCACAGGTTTCCCATCTCTTGGCTAGTAAAAGCAAAGGAGAGAACATATACTGAAAACCACAAATTATTACAAGGAAAAATGTGTCTTCTGATATTAAGACTCCTGGGTACCTGTGGCCTGAACCACCAATAACTATGCTTCTTCCTTTAAAGGGTTGACAGCATTTCACAGGAATGCAAGCTGTGATCTTGAATGCCAAAGATTAGATGAGGGAAATACACTCAGATCACTCACAGAAAATATTACTATTAACAAACAGGTGTTCACACATGTTTGCGGATTTCAAAGGGAAATTCTGCTCTTTCCCCTGGCTAGCAGTAGTAGTTTGGGGTGACCATCTGCCCTAGGTTCTTTAGCTGAGATTCTTGCATGCTGCGGGTTGGACTGGATGACCCTCAGGATCCCTTCCAACTCTACAATTCCATGATTCTAACTGTGAGTACAACATAACTATATATTGGGTTTGGTGATTCTTGTTATTCTTGAGGTTGAATGCTTCCCCCTACACAATAAAAAATGATCCCTTCACTTTGGTTTTGGCCTGTAGTGTGATAGAATGTCCTACCTCCTTTCTTGCTTTTTAAAGAAATTAAGTTCTGGGTGTGAGCTTTCCCTCCAGGTTTCAAGGGAACATGTACAGATGGGAGAGGAAAGTAAACAGATAATTGGGAAAAGGCTGCAACTTCTCTTATAAAAAGTGCCAGCTTCAATCCGTGGCATCTCTGGGTAGGACTAAGAGAGAGCTATGAATCCATGTAGACAGCACTGAGCTAGATGCACCAAGGTAGATTCTGAATCTATACTATAGCAAATATTTTCCTTTCAGTTTCTCCTTTCTTTTTACTCTATGGTTCATAATACAGTATAACAATGAAACACAGGAATGGGTTGATTGGTGGTGGGAGCCAGGAGTAGAAAGTGAAAGGAAAAGCTTCATCAGCATGATTTGCAAGCCATCCAGAACAAGTGAAATTAACAAGACTTCCCCCGTATGGCTATGACGGATGATGCAAGTGGGGAACGAAGAGCAAGCTCCATGCTTTCCAGGAAGCCATGTGGACTTCATGAATACAAATGATGATTCCAAACAGTGCATCAGATTTTACCTTTGATGCTGATTTTGTAATGTTCCCCATCAGAGAATTCCACCCCCCTTGCCCCAAAAGCTCGTCATTGCTAGAAAAGCCAACCATCCATTGCTTGGAGGCAAACTATACAGTGGTACCTCAGGTTACAGACGCTTCAGGTTACAGACTCCGCTAACCCAGAAATAGTACCTCAGGTTAAGAACTTTGCTTCAGGATGAGAACAGAAATCGTGCTGCAGCTGGAGGCCCCATTAGCTAAAGTGTTACCTCAGGTTAAGAACAGTTTCAGGTTAAGAACGGACCTCCAGAATGAATTAAGTTCTTAACCAGAAATACCACTGTATTTGGTTCTATCTTGGTCTGAAAGTATGTGTTTTGTTGTTGCTGTTTCTTTCCCCCCTCTTATCAGAAAAGGCCCCATCTTTTTATTAACTGGCATTAGAATTAATCGCTTAAACATATCATTTTATATTGCACATCTTTTCCCAGTTCTTAAAGAGAATGCCACTAAAGCTGATTATGGCATGTATCTTAACATGCTGTATACGCATGAGCACAAGGTGGAGCAAATGATGCTGCTTTTGTATTTTGACCAACTTGGTCCTTGTATGCAGCTGCTTTTGGAGAGTGTTGTGGAAAACAGCATATTTTGTTCTGTATGGAAAGTCTTTCAGTTTTCAGTAGGTAGAACAATGTGAGTGTTTGCAAAGGTTGTTCTGTGTTTGGCTGTACAATATTTTTTCTTCCTGACCACAGGCCACTGTATTCTGCTCTGGTCAGACCTCACCTGGAGTACTGTGTCCAGTTCTGGGCACCACAGTTCAAGACGGACACTGACAAACTGGAACGTGTCCAGAGGAGGGCAACCAAAATGGTCAAAGGCCTGGAAACGATGCCTTATGAGGAACGGCTAAGGGAGCTGGGCATGTTTAGCCTGGAGAAGAGGAGGTTAAGGGGTGATATGATAGCCATGTTCAAATATATAAAAGGATGTCACATAGAGGAGGGAGAAAGGTTGTTTTCTGCTTCTCCAGAGAAGCGGACACGGAGCAATGGATCCAAACTACAAGAAAGAAGATTCCACCTAAACATTAGGAAGAACTTCCTGACAGTAAGAGCTGTTTGACAGTGGAATTTGCTGCCAAGGCGTGTGGTGGAGTCTCCTTCTTTGGAGGTCTTTAAGCAGAGGCTTGACAACCATATGTCAGGAGTGCTCTGATGGTGTTTCCTGCTTGGCAGGGGGTTGGACTCGATGGCCCTTGTGGTCTCTTCCAACTCTATGATTCTATGATTCTATGACAGGCCATTTCCCTTTTGAATAGAAAAGTGTGCATTCTTCCCTCCCCAGCTTCTCCCCTATAGTAAAAGTTTCTTGACATGTTATTCGGAAGCATTCTTGAAGCTTCAACCTAAGCTACACCAAACAGGTTGTGTTGCAGCAATATTTCTGCATCTGCTTCAGAACAGAAAAGTTTTTATAGTGCAACCTTATGTATGGTTACCTGGAAATGAATCCCACTGTGTTGAGGGGTGATTATTCTCTGATAGTGTGCTTGGGTTGCAGCCACAGAATACTTGAATTGTTCACTCTCACAACAATCTGTTGTTGAGGACTGTTATTTTAGTAGACTTGCAAGTAACATGAAAACAGTGAATTGTGCAGATGGTTATGCTGTGGTTGTGTTTAACTGGATTGCGTTGTTTTAATAAACCTGGGGGTATGTGTGTGGGGGTGGGAAGCACCCTGAACTCTTAATGTATTGGAAAGCTGCAAGCTATTTTCTGTAATGTGTTCAGATTGAAATAAATGCCCTTCTTCATTCTCTTCTAATCCCAAAATGTTTAGAAGACACTTTGCACATCAACAGAACTCAGGATACTTCAGTCAGTAGAGTTCATCTAAGGGTCATGGGTTTGAGCCCCACGTTGGGCAAAAGATTCCTATATTTCAGGGGCTGGACTAGATGACCCTTGCAGTCCCTTCCGATTCTACAATTCTGTGGTTCCAAGCACATGGAAAACAGCTCCTTCACAGCTGACTTAATAAGCAGCGTTCTTGCACACTACGGAATGTAGGTTCATCTTGTCCTTGATCCGAACACAGTGTAGAAACAGGGATTACTATTCCTTGGGAAGGCCACAGTACCATCAGCTTGGTGTTTACATGAAAATGCAATCTGGCTGCTTGGTCAGAGAATAACACATCTCTTTGTGTAGATTAACTCAAAACCGGAGGCCTGCTTTTACCATTTTAGTTGTCTTTAATTAATAAAATGCACACACAAACTTTTTTGCTTATGGCAATGCCAAAAGGCATGCCAAATTCATAAATGGATACAATGTGACGCCCAATGTATATATGTGAATATGAAAGGGAATACTGTATGCTATAACTTTGACTTGAAATAGTGTTGACCTGCATGTTGTTCTCTCACTCCCCGCCCCCCCATAAGAACAACATAACTTCTTGGATATACATCTAATATACTACATATCAAATAGTAAAACAAACCTTTCTGAATGTGCACAATTGCACCTGTACAACTATCCTTTCACCAGAGATTTTGATGTGGCATGAAAAAGGAAATGAAGGAAGAGACTAAAATAGTCAGGGTTATGCAAGTTCAGAAACTACCCTTTTTCTCACAGAAGGAAATTAGCAAGCTGGCTATGGTGAAAGGGTGTCTGTGCCTCAAATCAGCTCTTAAAGGGAAGAGGCTGTGGTAATGAAGCAGGATGGGTGGGACAATGGGATGTGGTTGCTAGCTTTTCAGTCATCTCATCTAGCTGTGTTTTACAAGCAGGGTGATATGCAGGAATTAGCAGGAGGAGCTATGCATGGCAAAGAGACCTACATTATCACTTGCTAGGTGCTCCACAGTAAGCTGCATCTAAAGGCTTGCTTATTTATTTAGCAGAGAATTGACACCCTACATTTCCTCATTTGGTTCCCAAAGTGGCCTGCAGTTGAGACAGGAACTGGAATAAGGGAAGACTATTACCAGCTCTTCATGCTATTCAATTTCAAAATTGGAGTGGAGATGAGGCACAGAACTTCCTCATATTCGGTTTTGGCTGCTCCCTTTCAAACAGACAAATTTAGTGTCTCATGCCGCACTAGATCTTACAGCTCTGTTGTCCCAGGTATTTTAATTTTCCATTGTCTCTTACTATCATAAGCTGTAGTTTAACATTAAAGCCTCTTCATGGTCCCAATACAGTCGTTTGGTAAAAAGGAAAAATTATTTCTGACTCAACCTGTCAATGGCTGAGGAGGGTATCTGCACAAAGGCCAGCAGCAAAATGCTAGGTATGAGAAAAGACTGTTGGGCAAGGGGAGAAATTAGGTGCTGAACATTTGGCTTTTTTACTGCTCCATTAAAAAAGATGGCTTGTTTGAAATTTGATAGCCAATTCAGCACACCTGTTTACAGTGGTGCCTCGCAAGACGAAATTAATCCGTTCCGCGAGTCTCTTCGTCTTGCGGTTTTTTCGTCTTGCGAAGCACGGCTATTAGCGGCTATTAGCGGCTTAGCGGCTATTAACGGCTTAGCGGCTTTAAGAAAAAGGAAACAAACTCGCAAGAACTCGCAAGACGTTTCGTCTTGCGAAGCAAGCCCATAGGGAAATTCGTCTTGCGGAACGACTCAAAAAACGGAAAACTCTTTCGTCTAGCGAGTTTTTCGTCTTGCGAGGCATTCGTCTTGCGGGGCACCACTGTATTGATGCGGTATTGTTTTTAATATTCAGTTGGAAGCCGTACAGAGTGGCTGGGGAAACCCAGCCAGATGGGTGGGGTATAAATAATAAATTATTATTAGTAAAGATAAAGGGACCCCTGACCATTAGGTCCAGTCATGACTGACTCTGGGGTTGCGGTGCTCATCTCGCTTTATTGGCCGAGGGAGCCAGTCTACAGCTTCCGGGTCATCTGGCCAGCATGACTAAGCTGCTTCTGGCAAACCAGAGCAGCGCACGGAAACGCCGTTTACCTTCCCTATTTATCTACTTGCACTTTGTCGTGCTTTCAAACTGCTAGGTTGGCAGGAGCAGGGACCAAGCAATGGGAGCTCACCCCGTCATGGGGATTCGAACCGCCGACCTTCTGATCAGCAAGTCCTAGGCTCTGTGGTTTACCCACAGCACCACCCGCGTCCACTTAATTATTATTATTACTTGACCACATATCCTTGTGCAGACCAAAAGTTGCGGGCTTTGTGTCTCTAGCAATTTGCAAACTACCTGGTTGTTGGTTAAGAAGAGAGGGTGGAGACATACAGTAGACATAGATATGGCTGTTCTTTTATAAGCACTGTGGACCTTTAAAATGAAAGATCCATGAACATAGCTTGGCCACCCCCACACAATGGCTTTTGGTTTTTTTAAGTTTTTCCAAATGATATAGGCATTACTCCTTGCAGACCCAGCCCAGTTGTGTTCATCCCCCAAGCTGCCTGTCTCTGCTGCCTCACCCTTTTCCTGGAAGTCTCCTTTTGCTCTTGTAGTTCCCACTTATCTCTGCTAAATGCCTAGTATTTGTCTTTCTACTGCTTTTCTCCTCTGTCCCACTCATATCTGAATACTTGTGAAATTATTTCTCTTCACTGACCCGGAAGTTTATTTCTTGGCTATTCCAATATGCCAGTAAATGGTAAAAAAGGTAAAGGACCGCTGGATGGTTAAGACCAGCCCAAGGTGACTATGGGGTGCTTTAAAGGCTCGACCAGCTTCTATTTGCCCTCTTTCTTTCAGGCCTGTACATTCTGCAAACAAGATATATTTTAGGCTCATGTTTCTCTATAACTAGGCCCTTTAGCTGATTAAAAGTTCTATGGCCTTTTAAATGTGTTTGGGGGGGGGCTGCTATTGATTTTTTTAATTATTATGTATTTTGTGTTCTCATTCTGCATTTTTATGTTGTAAACCACCCTGTGATCTTCAGGGTGGTATACTACTACTACTACTACTGTTGTTGTTGTTGTTTAGTCGTTTAGTCATGTTCGACTCTTTGTGACCCCATGGACCAGAGCACGCCAGGCACTCCTGTCTTCCACTGCCTCCCGCAGTTTGGTCAGACTCATGTTTATAGCTTCGAGAACACTGTTCAACCATCCTCTGTCGTTCCCTTCTTCTTGTGCCCTCCATCTTTTGCAACATCAGGGTCTTTTCCAGGGAGTCTTCTCTTCTCATGAGGTGGCCAAAGTCTTGGAGCCTCAGCTTCAGGATCTGTCCTTCCAGTGAGCACTCAGGGCTGATTTCCTTCCGAATGGAGAGGTTGGATCTTCTTGCAGTCCATGGGACTCTCAAGAGTCTCCTCCAGCACCATAATTCAAAAGCATCAATTCTTCGGCGATCAGCCTTCTTTATGGTCCAGCTCTCACTTCCATACATCACTACTGGGAAAACCATGGCTTTAACTATACGGACCTTTGTTGGTAAGGTGATGTGTCTGCTTTTTAAGATGCTGTCTACTACTACTACTACTTCATTAATTTGCTCTCTGTTTCCAAGCTCTCAGCCTTCCCCTCTCTCCCACCTGCTTGCCCCTGAGCACAAGCTCTTTCTATTTTTCTGTGGGGCTTTTCCCGGTCAAACACAACTGCTTCCCCACAGCTGCCTTTTAAGTATGTAAACTGGTTGTGACTATCCATCTCATCACTCCATATGAGTGAACACTCCATAACTTTGCAGTGTCTAGAAAGGATTGGCAATATGTTCCTACCAACAGTGGACAAAGTTTAGCCTATTATGTATGGATTTATTTCCCAAAGATAAAAATATGGAAACTTGTTTACTGTACAGAATACAGTTGATCTCTTTGCATCCATCCCCTATATAGTGGTACCTCAGGTTAAGAACTTAATTCATTCTGGAGGTCCGTTCTTAACCTGAAACTGTTCTTAACCTGAAGCACCACTTTAGCTAATGGGGCCGCTGCGCCGCTGCTGCGCGATTTCTGCTCTCATCCTGAAGCAAAGTTCTTAACCTGAGGTACTATTTCTGGGTTAGCGGAGTCTGTAACCTGAAGCGTCGTAACCTGAAGCGTCTGTAACCCGAGGTACCACTGTATATTCCAGTAACTAAACGTAGAGCCGAAATCTTGCTGCTATTCATTGCAAACACTGCTTGAAAATAAAGGAATACTTATCTCATAAACAAGGTGATCATCTAAAATAAGTAGCTAACAGAAAACAGTGTCTTAATCATGGGAAATGTGTTTTGTGACAAATCTCATGCCACGACTTCTGCTGATCCTAGTTGGGCATAATTTCCCACAAGAACTTAAAATGTCTCTTGAACTTCACCCCCACCTCACAACTGGCAATTCTTTTGAGCTGGCATAATCTGCGAGTGGGGTTTTTGCTCATGGATTTGGCCCAGTGCCTTTATTTGATCTCTGCTGTTCGTCTGTGGGAGCACTTGAAATAGGTAGGAAAAAATGTGCATCAAGTTCAGCTAGCCTTAGAATTGGCCTCTTGCCTGCTAACTGGAAACATGCTATTAGTCTGGAATTCTATTCTAGTCTATTAAGTAAGCTGGAAAGCTTACTTAAAAAGGAGGCAGAGCAAATCCCAAGGGGCTGGTGGGTGGCAGCAAGGAATCGTGGGCTGTGCCACGGTCCACGTGAAAACAACGTGGTGTGCGTCTTTCTACAGGAATGAGTACAGCACAATCTGCCCTTTCCCATCAACGCTGTTGTTTGCTGTTCTGCTTTGGAATTAGAGTTCACTTTTTTCCTTGAGCATTGGCCATATATAAATCCTATTTATTGCTGAGGCTGTAACTGCTGCTTAGTGCTAGGTCTTGGGTTTTGTTGGTCCTAACTGTCTACCTTCATTTTTCAGTTGTGTGCCCAGGCTTGCTTGCTTTTTTTTTTTTTTTTTAAGAGTAGGAGGCAAGAGATAACATGTCCTAACTGATAAGCCAGCACCAACAGAGTGTGTTGGACTTGGACCTGTGAAGTCTTGTGGTGTGTTCTGCTGTTGACTCACTAGATGTCTTTGATTCCGTTGCAGTTTCTCTGCTTGCTTCCCTGTTTGTAAAATGGGGATAACTGGGAGCAGAGCTTGGAGTGTTTTTGGACTCTTGGAGATTTGATGCAGGCTACAAAGTATTTGATATTTCTCCCAAACTTGGTTTGTTTTCCTATCTGGTCTAGAGGTATCACTGTGAGGGGTATTCAGCACAATCCTACTCAGAGAAATCCTACTGAAGTTAATGGGCATGACAAACTTGATTTATTTAAATGGGTCTACTGAGAGTAGGGTGCAGTTGGATACAGCCCCATAGATTTGCAAGTCTGCTACCCATTCCAAAACCTGTACAGGAGGATTTCCCAAGTTTTTTTGGGGGGGGGCTGTTGGCACTGCCCTCATGCCACAATATATATAATATAAAATAATAATAATAATAATAATAATAATATATTATTTATACCTCACCCATCTGGCTGGGTTTCCCTAGCGACTCTGGGCGGCTTCCAACTGAATATTAAAAACAATACAGTATCAGACATTAAAAACTTCCCTAAACAGTTGTCTTTTGAGAGTAAAATAGTTTTATTGCCTTGACATCTGCTGGGAGGGCGTTCCACAGGGCAGGTGCCACTACCGAGAAGGCCCTCTGCCTGGTTCCCTGTAACCTCACAGCGAGGGAACCGCCAGAAGGCCCTCGGTGCTGGACCTCAGTGTCTGGGCACGACGATGAGGGTGGAGACGCTCCTTCAGGTATACAGGACCGAGGCCATTTAGGGCTCTAAAGGTCAGACCAACACTTTGAATTGTGCATGGAAACGTAGGCATATGCATGTACCACACAGCTACTCATGTGCTCCACTTACTACTCATACCCATGTGCCACAATTAGGTTTGAATAAAGCTGCCTTCGACTCAGATAGAAAGGTCCTTTGAAGTCTAATTTCAGTGCATGGGGTGGGTGCAGGTGGGAGACAGGATGGGACCCTGAAGGACCAGGGAAGTCCTCTGTGGGTGTACTCAGAATTAAGTCTTGCAGAGGTCACGCTGTCATAACACTTTGCCCAGAATATCTTTTGAGTACATTTTGTGGTTTGAAATAGTATGCTGGACTCTGGCACCATGAGAACCTTAAGCCACTGAAGCAGACATCCCCAAGCAAGTGCCTGCTTACAGTTGTCTGAGCAGGACTGTAATATTGCGGCTCTGCAAATAAAGCTATAAGGTATAGGCTTTCCTACCTGTAGGTGGCTCATATTCTACCCAGAGATTCAAATGAGTGACTCTTTGCAAGCTTGGAATGTTGTCCAGAGTTAATTTCCTTTGCAGAGTAGCTTGGCCCGAACCTATTACAGGTTGCTAGGCAGTTGACTTGGACCAGAAGTCCCATGGGAAGAAAATCCGGAGAGAACATGAAAGGAAGGTTCTTTGCCAATATAGGAAGTCTGCTGTTGGAAGATAGTGGAGGAGTTAAATGGTGAATTCGGGGTTGATGCATGCATGCTGCCATGATGATGTGGGAAGCATGCCAGATCACCACTGCCCATCATATAAATTACTCGTGGATAATGACACTTTGTTAATATTCTCTGATTAGCTCAGTTGTGTTGCTTCACCTTTTCAAGCTGGACAAAGAAGTTGAGGGCAAATGTTCTTAGAAGTCTGTCCCACTGCGCCATGGGACTTGTTCAAAAGCTGGCGTGTTTATGATTACAGCCATTGTTTTTGCTATTTAAAAGGAGGTGGGGGAAGCACATGCACAATATTGCTGAAACCTGTCTGAGGTGTCTAAAGCCGCTTTCCCCAGAAACCCCAAAGGATATAAAAAGATCAAAGTAGTGGCTGCTGTAGACTGTCTGAAAAGTACAAGAAGTCCTGAAATCAACAGTAGCAGTCTGTGTCCGATCCACTTGGTTTCAGTGGCCAGATATTGTTTTGCACACCGACCCACCCACCAATTGCTATTTAACCTTTTCCACCCAGTTGTGCCACTTTCATGGTTTTGCTGCATTAGAAGCAGCCACTAGAATTGCTAATTGATTCAGAGTTGCAAATTGCCAAATAGTGGCTCAGCCAGAGTGTTTTGGGAGTTGCTTTTCTCGGAGGGTAGAATTTCCCCTTAGATTTGAGATTTCTACCTTTCCCACTCCTAAGGATTTAAGAATTTTAACATCATGTTTACTGTATGTGAAAAGAGATATATATATATATATATATACACACACACACAACAAAAGTAGGGTAACAGTATAAGCTGTGTGCAGTGGGGCTTACTTTTTAGTAAACATGTAGAATTGTGGCCTTAAAAGATGTAAACTAGATACAAATACATTGGGCTGAAACTCCCTTTCCAACCTGGGAATTAAAAATGCTTACTCAGTTTCTGCCTTGTTTACAACTGTTAGAGGGTGCTGAAGGTTATTTCCTTGTTGTAATTGTAAATTGTCATTAGCATAATCTAGCTGCCTGAAAATGCATTATTCAATATGCATTTAAAATCATTGAATAGAGCTGTGTGTCAGTGTTTTAAAACTGGAAAAACAAAGCTGGTTAGAAGCCAAAGAGGAAGGAAATAGAGAATTGCTACCCAATTTATTTTGGACATTGAAGGGTGTTTTAAGGTTAGCAGGGCTACTAGATTAAACTCTCTGGACAAACCCTCAAACAGAACAGCTACCAAAGTTTGGTTGAATATGCTGATGGAGTCTTTTGAGACTTGCAGTAATTTAGGTGACTTGGAGGAGAAGCTGGACTGGAAGATATACTGCTACTAAGGGTCTCTTGTCTAATAGTGTTAGGTATCTGGGCTGTAATGTTCAGGCTGAATGGACCAATGTGTGTTGCTCAAGCAGGGAACGAAGAAGAAAGCTTAGTTCTGTTGAATTATAAGGCATTCATATTTAGTTTTTAGAAATATGCAGATTTATTAAAATTGATCCATCTGTTTTAAAGGCAGATGACTGATTCATAACTAAAAATGTTTTGAATACATGACAGCTCAGCTGTTTATTTTTACCTCTGTGTCTTTTGGGACCTTCAAAGGGTCCTCTTATCTACATTTTGGGAAGAATCCAAGCTTATTGTTCTGTTTGATGTTCCCAGCATGCTTCCTCCACAACAATAGATTGACAAGATATGCATATAGTGGGGATGGGTAGCAGGCTTTCCTTCCAGTTAAGCAGGCAGAACAGGAAACCTACCACAAGGGTCCAGTATATTTGGCTGAAGGGAAACACTCTTGTTTTTCCTTCTTCAGTTTACCTCCCTTGGTGCAGATTAATTCTGGAAGGGGAGAGGGTGGGGAAGGTTAAGCAAACAAGCTGAGCTTCCAGCCAGGCAGCCAAAAGGAACTTGCTGTCAAAGCATCTTTGGAGAGGCAAAGCAGAAATTAGAAAAAGAACCAGATGGCATAAACATTGAGATACGCTGGCCAGACTCCTGGCTGCCTGCAAAGCAAAGGCACCATCCAACCTCAACAGGAGAATATCCTGTTCTGTTCTGTCCAAGTGGATGGCGTGCACTGCTGCTCCATGACGGATTTGCCAATGACAGGATTCAGTTTGCTGTGTTACCCTACCTACCCATGGTCTGCTGGATGAGACTAAATGTGGATAAGGGAGACCTCATACCACTGCACTTGTGCAAATTGTGACTATGGAGCAAGACACCCACAATTTATTAATATATTTATATTTATTTCAACAGCCTGTCTACCGCTTAATCACAGTTGTCTCTAAGTGATGTACAGGGGGCTAAAGATGAGTTAAAACAATAAAATCAGATCCCAGTTAAAAGCTTGCTGGATTAAAGAAGTCTTCAGTAAGTGCCAGAAGTTCAACTGGAAGTGAGTTCCATAAAATTGGGCCCACAATGGCTCTTGCTTGGAAATAATAATAATAATAATAATAATAATAATAATATATTTATATCCCGCCCTCCCCAGCCGAAGCCAGGCTCAGAGCGGCTAACAATAATATAAGTAACACAGCATTCTAAAATCAATTCATTCTAAAATCAGTTGAAAGCAAATTAATGGCAACCATTGGGCTAGAGTTCTGTGAAGAATTGGCCAAAGGCCTGGTGGAACAGCTCTGTCTTGCAGGCCCTGTGGAAAGATGTCAAGTCCCGCAGTGCCCTAGTCTCTTGTGACGGAGCGTTCCACCAGATTGGAGTCACAGCCGAAAAAGCCCTGGCTCTGGTTGAGGCCAGCGTAACCTCTCTGTGGCCCGGGACCTCCAAGATGTTTTTGTTTGAAGACCGTAAGGTCCTCCATGGGACATACCAGGAGAGGCGGTCCCGTAGGTCCTAGGCCGTATAGGGCTTTAAAGGTTAAAACCAGCACCTTAAACCTCATCCTGTGCTCCACCGGGAGCCAGTGCATCTGTACATCTGAGCCATAGGGGACCACTAACAGTGGCTCCCCTGAAGACAGCTGGGATTGAGCACAGAATATAAGGGATCAGGTGTTCCATGAGGTGTCCTGGACCCAAGTTGGTTAAGAACCTTGGAAAGACACTTGGAAAGTAGTAGGGCTTCCTAGGGATGACCTAGACCTGGTATGTGTTTTGTATGCAAAACGTCCCAGCTGGTAGAGATCTCTGTGGAACCCTGGAGAGCTGCTACCAATCAATGTAAACAGTATTGAGCTAGGCGGAGCAATAACTCGGGAAGCTGCCTTGTATTATGTTCCTAGGGATGAAAACCTGTCTCACCTCCAAATGGGAGGAGAGGCTGGGATGATGGTAACTGCAAATTATGGCTGGCTGAATAGTGTATTCCAGGGCGGTCTTAAGAACAACTCGTCTGTGCAATTGAGAGATGTAAAAGTTATCCAGTTACTCCACACCAGTTTGGAGGTCGGTGACTCCAACAATTTTTCTGCGGGAGGGGGGGGAGTGAGCAACTGGCGAATTAGCATATTGATATAGACAAATGGAGAGGCTCAGAAGCTTCCTGTCAAATCCCAGAGTGACTGCAGCTATTTGCTGGAGGAAGTCGTGCCATTGTTCAGTCTTCCTCAAGTAAATATTTAAGAGTTTCTAGTATGCTCAAATGGCTTGTCAAATAGCACCAAAGAGCTCTGAGCATCAGTAAATACAAAGGAACAGAACAATGCCCTGGCCCTCTGAATTCTACCCAGCAGAAGTAGCAAGAGAGGAGCCGGGTTCAATAACTATCATCTTACTGGCCATGGTGGCTAGAACAAATATTTTCTTCTGCATTGTAGCAGCAACATCAATGTACATGCTAAATGGTAGATGTTTTTGTCTTCTCAGAATCGTCTCCACATCCCCCACAGATCTCCCATCTATGACTTCTCTTCCCAGTTTTTAAAGATTGTACCTGCACAGGTTCCTGCATGTCTCCTGTGTAAATGATGTAGAACAGGCATGTGTTTCAGATTGATTCAGCAGAGCACTGATGGAAGTTATACAGTTTACAGCATTCATAGGACTTCCACCCACCCAAATACTATGATGTAAACTGAAGCACAGAGTGGAAACATTATAGCCTGCTAGTTGTTGGAGCTTCATGTAATAAAAAATCCATTACAGTGGTGCCTCGCAAGACGAAATTAATCCGTTCCACGAGAGTCTTCGTCTAGCGGTTTTTTTGTCTTGCGAAGCAAGCCCATTGACGGATTAGCGCTATTAGCGCTATTAGCGGTTTAGCGGCTATTAAAGGCTTAAAGGCTTAGGGGATTAGCTGCTAAAAGGCTATTAAAGGCTATTAAAGGCTTAGCAGATTAGATAAAGGGGGGGAAAAGCGAAAAAAATCTCAAGACTCGCAAGATATTTTCGTCTTGCGAAGCAAGCCCATAGGGGAATTCGTCCTGCGAAGCAACTTCAAAACGGAAAACCCTTTCGTCTAGCGGTTTTTCCGTCTTGCGAGGCATTCGTCTTGCGGGGCACCACTGTATTTGATCAAATTAGGTGTTGTCATTGGCCAATTATATAAAACTACTCTTCTGAGATATTAAAAATCTGAGTTTTGGATAAAAGCTACGGAGTCCAAAATAAATGAAAAGGTCTGTGCCTCAAGCTTATTAGACAGTGAAACTTGGAAGTGAACGTATTTGCTTAAGTCTGTTCTAGTCCTGGAGAATGACTTAAGGCACTGGATTTAACACCCTTAAAAGGTGTGTGTCACACAACTGTGGTATTGTATGAAATGCTCCCTGGCACTGTTCCATTCTCTGCAAGGCTGATTTGGCCACTGAAATACTGAGACAACCTTGCAGTTGGAATATTTGTCAGAAACATATGGCTTCTTCAGAACCTGCAATTTCCATGGAGGTCACTGACATATGGCAGATGTTCAGAAGCACGGAAAGAATAACAATATTTATTTATTTTACTTGGTACCTTTATGAAAATTCAGGTAGTGATCGTGCAAAGAAATAAGAGCTTTTCCATTCTCTTGCACTGGAAAGCCAGAAACAGCTGTTCTGTTCTGATGAGAGCAAGCATGCAGAGACCTGAGCAGAGTCAGTTCTAATTTTGGAAACCAAGCACTGGTGCTGAGATGGAAGTTGTTAGGAATGGAGTGTTCCCTTCTCAGTTCTTGGCCTGGAATTACTTGTGAGGGCATTTTAGTGAGCTGCAGTTTCATGATATTATTACTATTATTTATTAAAATTTGTATACCATCCTTTATCTGAAGATCACAGGGCATTTCACAACATAGATATTCAAAATGAGAACACAGAATACATAATAAAACAAAAACAAACCAGTAACCTCTTTCCCACAAAATGCCATAGAATGTTAATTAGCCAAAGGCTTGGTTATAGAGAAACATTTATGTAACTTACCGGCCAGTTAGCTATCTCTCCTTCTTGAGTAAGGTTCTTGAGTGGGTGGTCAAGGACCAGATCCAGGTGTACTTGAAGGGAACTCACTTTACAGATTCATTTCAACCAGGGTTTAGGTCCGGTTTGGAACAGAAACTGCTTTGGTCACCCTGTATGATGACCTCTGTTGGGAAAGAGACAGAGAAAATGTGTCCCTGTTAATTCTCCTCAACCTCTCACTGGCTTTTGATACCATCAGTCATGGTATCCTTCTAGAGTGGCTGTCTGAGTTAGGGGTGGGTGGCCCCACTTTGCAGTGGTTCCTGTCCTACTTGGATTTTCTTTTCCAGAGGGTGATGCTTGGGGAGCCATCAGTGTGGAGTTTCCCAGGCTTCGAATTTTATTCCCTATGCTGCTTAACATCTACATGAAACTGCTGAGTGGTATCATTTAGAGTTTTGGAGTAGGTTGTCAGAATATGCTGATGACACATAACTGCTTAAAAGCTCTCTGCCTTGCATGGGGTCAAGGCTCACTTGGCACACTGGCGCATGCACACATGTGTATGTATATCTTGTGCTAAATGTTATTGATATCAAAGATCCCTGGAACTCTGTAAGAGCTTTAGAGTTTTCCTTGTAACTGCTGTCATAAACAAGAAAACATTTTCTGTCCACAGGTACTCTCTGCGGCGAGGAAGCTCATTCACATTTCTAACTCCTGGGCCACATTGGGATTTTACTCTGGTAAGTAAAGCAAAGAGCGTATTAATTCACAATTGGAATAATGAACAAAGAAACAGTTCATGTTCTTCCTCTCTCAACTAAAAGTTTGTTCTGTGCCCAGACAGACAGCTATAGTTTTTTTCCTTTCTGTATACTGCTGGTGGTTAAACCAGCTTTGCTAGCTCTCAGATGGCAGTCAGTGTACCTGATCTGCCTTGTGAGACTTACATGATGTGCAGCAGTGTATTTCCATGTGCTAGAACGTCTGCCATTAATTTCTTCTTTTTGCATACTGTAACAGAATAATTGGACCAGCTGTGGATCGAGTAGAATTTAAACAAGACCTGCTGAAGTCAATGTGACATATACAGCATCTACAGTCAGGAACTGATTTCCAAAAAAATCATCCAGTAAAAAGATATTTCCCGTCTCAAAATGTGTGTGCCCATTGTGTCTTGATTTCCTTACATGTAGAAGCTACTTCCACTCCTGCGGCTCAGGAAAGCATATTGCTTTTAGCAGGAACACTGTGTGGCTAGACAGCTAAAGTAATTTTATCTTCTAATGGCACTTTCTGCTTACACATTTGTTTCTTGCCTGGGACTATTGGCATCTGTAATGGTTCAAGGGGTTGCTCGTGCGTAAGCCGGTGCCCACACCTGGCTGGGTTGCCTAAGTGAACCTTTTCTGTCTGGACAGCCACTCACCCGTGACTGTCTCAATCGCTGGCAGAATTCGTCAGTGGGCATTTCTTAAACTTCTTCCAGCAAAGAAGTTCTTTCATGCCTAGTCGCCTCCTACTTTCCCTGCACGGAAGCCTTCTGCACAAGGAAGGCGTAGGCAGCGGAGGACCCTTCCTCCCCCTGCTGGTCCCAGGCAAGGAGTCCTGTGACTCCCTCTCAGATTCCTCCATCTGCCCCCCTTCTCTACTGGAGCTGGGCTGATTCCCTTCCCCAGAAGATGGGCTGCCTCTCCCAATCCCGTGACGCTCTCTGGGATCCCTCTGGAGCTCTCTCTCTCCCTCCGGCACTGATGGCAGTTCCCTGACAGCATCATTGGAGAAAATAGTATTTTTTTCCCATCTTCCTTATTGGAGATGGTGCATTTCAAACTTAGAACACAGAAGGCATGTTCAGGCATTTGTCTGAACATGTAAATGCTGTATCTGTGGTGGGAGGCAGGGGTGTACATGCACGTCTTGCCCCAATGTCTCCATACATGTTATCCTTTATCAGTGTCCCCAGTCACATGGAGATTTATATTCATGTTCAAGCAATCACAAGAACAAGGCCTTACAGATGTACCCTGCTCATTAAGTGGAAGTTCATGCTGTTTATCTAGGGGGAAATGTGCTTCTCAAGGGTGACTAACTATTATGATCTTAACTGTTGTCTCAGTTTTGATCCTGCGGTGACAAGCTAAGACTGGGCAACAACCAAAATAGTGATTACAAAGCTATGCTCCCGCTCTGCCTACTTGAACCTCATCTCCCCACCACTTCTAATTCTTCATGAATTGCAGAAGCTAGATAGGGATGCTAAGGGTTATATATCCAGCAATCTTCTACTCAGGCAGCCATGTTCTACTCAAAGTAGACCCACTGAACTTAAGTGACACTAAGTTAGCCACACCCATTGAGTTCAGTGGGTCTGCTCTGAGTAGGAGTAACTTTGGGTACAATTCAAATTATTTTGGATCTTGTGGAATGGAGGCCTGTACAGAGCATTGACTGGATCACACTCAAGTTCTTCTTGCTTTGAGGCATGGGGCAGTTGTCCACTGGGGCTTTAACAGCTCGTATTCACTTTTTTCAACCAAAGCAAATACTAGGAAACAGCTGTAGTGGTAGGACACGTGTGCATGCATAAGGTTCCAGATTCAATCCCTGATATCTTCACCCAAAAGGTCATGAGGTACCAAGGCTAGAAAAGACTGGAAAACCGCTGCCAATTAATAGAGTACTTGGTTGGATGGACTAGCGATCTGGCTGTCCCTGTGCAATGAAGCCACATAAGTTCAGTTTTAAGGTTGATTGCGGTACAAGAAAATGATGATAGTACAATAAGGCCATTATTTTTTATTGTCCTAAAAGCAAAGGAGTGAAAGTAGATAGGAATATGGGCAGCAATATTTATTTTAATCTGTGTTTTCCCTATTCACCTATAAACTGTATATGCCTTTTTATCTTTTTATGTGAAAAAAGGGTTGAGGCAGGAGAAAGCCTGCAGGCCTTACCCTAACTAATGTAAGTTAAGATGTGCCTCCAGCTCCCATGAGCTCCAGCCTGGGATAGCTAATCGTCAAGGATAATGGGAGTTGTGGGGACGTGGGTAGCGCTGTGGGTTAAACCACAGAGCCTAGGGCTTGCTGATCAGAAGGTCAGCGGTTCGAATCCCCGCGACGGGGTGAGCTCCCGTTGCTCGGTCCCTGCTCTTGCCAACCCAGCAGTTCGAAAGCACATCAAAGTGCAAGTAGATAAATACCGTATTTTTCGCACCATAGGACGCACCGGCCCATAGGACGCATCAAGTTTTTTGGGGGGGAAATAAAGAAAAAAAATTTATTTCCCCCCCAGGCGCTTGTGGGGCCGGCAGCAGGGAGAAGCGCTCTTCTCCCCGCAGTCCGCCTTCAGATCAGGTCCGGGGACAGCTGGGAAGACGCGCTGCGTCTCCAAGCTGTCCCCGGAGGTGGGGGGCTGGCAGCGGGAGAAGCGCTCTTCTCCCTGCCGCCCGCCTTGCGATCAGGTCCGGGGACAGCGGGAAGACGCGCTGCGTCTCCCAGCTGTCCCCGGAGCTTGGGGGCAGGCAGCGGGGAGAAGCGCTCTTCTCCCTGCTGCCCGCCTTGCGATCAGGTCCGGGGACAGGCAGCGGGGAGAAGCGCTCTTCTCCCTGCCGCCCACCTTGACATCAAGTCCGGGGACAGTGGGAAGACGCACTGCGTCTCCCAGCTGTCCCCGGAGCTTGGGGGCAGGCAGCGGGGAGAGCGCTCTTCTCCCTGCCGCCCGCCTTGCGATCAGGTCCGGGGACAGGCAGCGGGAGAAGCGCTCTTCTCCCTGCCGCCCACCTTGACATCAAGTCCGGGGACAGCGGGAAGACGCGCTGCGTCTCCCAGCTGTCCCCGGAGCGTGGGGGCAGGCAGCGGGGAGAAGCGCTCTTCTCCCTGCCGCCCGCCTTGCGATCAGGTCCGGGGACAGGCAGCGGGGAGAAGCGCTCTTCTCCCTGCCGCCCACCTTGACATCAAGTCCGGGGACAGCGGGAAGACGTGCTGCGTCTCCCAGCTGTCCCCGGAGCTGGGGGGGCAGGCAGCGGGAGAAGCGCTCTTCTCCCTGCCGCCCACCTTGACATCAAGTCCGGGGACAGCGGGAAGACGCGCTGCGTCTCCCAGCTGTCCCCGGAGCTTGGGGGGCAGGCAGCGGGGAGAAGCGCTCTTCTCCCTGCCGCCCGCCTTGCGATCAGGTCCGGGGACAGCGGGAAGACGCGCTGCGACACCCACCTTTCCCCGGAGCGAGGGGGCACGCAGCGGGGAGAACCGCTCATCTCCCTGCCGCCCGCCTTGCGATCAGGTCCGGGACAGCGGGGAGACGCGCTGCGTCTCCCTGCTGTCCCCGGAGCTTGTGGGGCTGGCGGCGGGGTCGCCCCGCCGACAGCCTCCAAACCACTTCGGAGACAGCGGGATGGCGGCGTTCCGCCTCCCTCTGTCCCCCGACCTTGTGGGGCTGGTGCTGGGGCTCTCCTGAAGCCTGGAGAGCGAGAGGGGTCGGTGCGCACCGACCCCTCTCGCTCTCCAGGCTTCAGTGAAAGCCTGCATTCGCACCATAGGACGCACACACATTTCCCCTTCATTTTTGGAGGGGAAAAAGTGCGTCCTATAGTGCGAAAAATACGGTAGGTACCGCTCTGGCGGCAAGGTAAACGGCGTTTCCGTGCGCTGCTCTGGTTCACCAGAAGCGGCTTAGTCATGCTGGCCACATGACCCGGAAGCTGTACGCCAGCTCCCTCGGCCAGTAAAGCGAGATGAGTGCCACAACCTCAGAATCATCCGCGACTGGACCCAATGGTCAGGGGTCCCTTTACCTTTACCTTTAATGGGAGTTGTAGTTCAGCAACTTCTGGAGTTCCATAGGTTAGCCGCCCGTAGTCTAAGCCAGGCTTCCTCAACCTCGGTCCTCCAGATGTTTTTGGCCTACAACTCCCATGATCCCTAGCTAGCAGGACCAGTGGTCAGGGATGATGGGAATTGTAGTCTCAAAACATCTGGAGGGCCGAGATTAAGGAAGCCTGGTCTAAGCAGTTTTCTCTCACTTCATGGTACTGGTCCCGACCTTGTGCCGTGTTTCAAATGCAGCTTGAGGTCATGGAAGAACCTGATTTCCCCCTGTTTTGAGCTGGTGAGGATTGTAAGCAAGATTTTTGAAACTTGATGAATGCATATCTGCATATGCACCCATGCAGAACACATAAAAAAGAAGTGCCAAGTCTCCCTTAAGTATGAAATCGAGAAGCAAAAGTTGGTATCTGTCTGGTCTATTAAATTTTGCTGCTCAGTTTGCTTGTATGGAAGTGGATTAGTGGAAGTGGATTAGTGGAAGTGACGGAAATTTGCCATAAGGTAAATGGAGTACACTGGCTCATCCCACACTTCTATGTATCAGAAAATCCACCTTGCCTTCAGGCTACTGATGCTGAATCAGAGCTAGAGCACCCCTAGCAGTAATAAGTGCTGTTTGACAGAAGTCTGTGTGCTATAAACCTAGAAATATGGCTGTAGAAATATTCATTGCTTTTAATTCCAGCCCCTTGCTAATAACTTCCGATAGGTGATACTTCTCAAAATGAGACTATTTCTCCACCCTGATCTCTTGAGGAGCTGCTTTTGTATACTTTTTGCTCTGTTCATTATGTTATTAAGGCTTAGGGTAAGTAAATGTTTTTTTAATAGAGGCTAGTTCCAGTAGAAGAGGATAACAAGATTAGATGCTATATATTACAAACCTGAAACTGTATTTATACAAGTTTAACAGACATGAATTGTCCCCAATGACATGAGGCTGCCAAGAATCCTGACCTCACCTGGATAGTACAGCTCCTAGGGTTTCCTGATTTGGGAGATTAGGACAAGCTGATTTTAAGCTTGTAGCAAGATGAGCCTGTAAATCATAAAAGGGAACGATTAACCTGACCTCGGCATCTCCTGGTTCCTGGATTTATCAAGTGAGGGACTGTCAGACTTGGACCTGGCTTCAAATCCCTGCTCAACCGTGAAGCTCACTGAATGACCTTGGGCTAGACACCATTTTTCAGCCTATCTACCCCAAATTGTGAGGACAAAATGTGGCATGATATGTGCACACTTTTGAGTTCCAGAGAGGAGAGCCATGTTATAAAGGCTATTTTAAAATAAGATTTGGTGTGGAAATAGAAAAGCCAACCTCGCCCAAAGGACGTTTCTCTCCTTACAAATAAGAAGTCTCCTGTTATCTGATACAATCATTGAATCACCCATTTTAGAAAGATGGGTTTTCTTTCTAATTAAGGGTTTTTTTGTTTTATAAAAAGGCGATGAACACTTTTTGCTGAGTCTTTAGACACCCTGCTTTTTTCAGTCTGGTGCACTCTCAGAAGTACTTTTCCACATGAACTGATCTCAGGAGGGCTTAAAAGGGTCATCCAGTCTGAGAAGAACGTATCAATCCGGATAGCCCTTTGTTTCTCTGAGCCATTCAAGTGCAAGTTTTTTTTAAGAGTCTGCATCTGACTTAGCAGATGTAAAACAGCTGGCTTTGCTGTCAAATGTCTGCTGTCTGTATGAATCGCAACTGGGCTGAGAAAAATGAAGGGCCCAGCCAAGGCAAGACCTATTAAAACTAGTCTAGCCAGTCTTAAAAACAAACCTCTGGACTTCCTTTAGAGTCTGGAGTTGGATGAGACTAAAACCTATAGGTTGGCTATAAGCAGGGAGTAAAGCTGAATTGCAGAAACTAGGGTTTCTGAGTAAAAAGCACAATCTGAAATTCTTGGTAGCATTGCAAGATTAATAAAAAGAAAACAATGTCTATTTTTAATGGTAGTCTGACCAAGTCTGTAAAGTTAATTTGCAAATTGTTCCTTTGAATAATTTGCAGATATGTAATAGATATGGTTAGAAATACTTTGAAGTGCAAAAACACTCATTTCCATGTTGTTCATAATATTGTGGTATTATAAATTTTTTGAATAATGTTTTAGAAAGTCATTTGGTGGAGAAAGGAGTATCTTTCTAGTTGTTCTCCTTTGCTTCTCCTGCATGCTTCACTCCGTCCACCCCCCCAACCCCAACCCACAATGCATGCATGAACAGGAGACTCACATTTGATCTCCAAAGCATTATTCTGTCAGGGAGGGAAACAGTGCCACATGCAGCCTCTGCAACACAGTCCTGTGTTGTGGTGATAGGACTGTGGGTGCAACCATAATAACAAGTCTTGTGTTAAAGAGTGCTGTGCTACAGGGATCCGACATGAGGCTAAAATATTTTTAAGTTTAGAAGGGGGAATGAGAGCCATATGTGTTGTTCTCAGAGTATGGTCCTTCATGAACACAAGGCCATACTCTGGTGGTGGGACACACTCCTGTATTTCTCTGACAAAGGGGACTTGCCTGGTCACTGGGAGGAAATTTTACTTGCCACTACCAGTGCTCTCGTCCAGGGGGTCACGAAGAGTCGGACATGACTAAACGACTAAACAACAACCAGAGGTGAACTGGTAAGGACATTATTATGGGATAGTTGTGATGTGTAGAACTTAGAAGTGGGAGATAGCACACATTGGCTCTTATATAATGGTAAGCATAACTGAGAACTGTGGAATCCAAACAGGTTTCTTCTTTCATTAAGTAAATTCTTGAAAGAATTCCAGGTGTCAATAGCGACATTAATGCATGTTGCTCTCCTTCCTTTTGGATTTTCATTGTTCTCTTTTTAATCTGTTTCTCATAGGAGCACAAAGGAGGCAATAACTTCTAGGCGAATTGCTTGTATGTCAAGACAAATGACGTTAATTGCCAGAATGAAATTCCTCCAGCTTGTTTACATCATAGTTGTAAAAAGGAGGGCAGCTTTGGGGCACGTAACACTTGGGGAAGCTGGTTCCTTTTAAGGATATCAAAGCCAGGCACGTAACTCGTATAACTAGTGTTTTCTTTCCTTATAGAAGAGGAAGCGGAGAGAGAGAGATGATGATGTTGTCAGTATTTGTAGCCTCGATCTTAAGGTAATTAAAACATTTTTTCGCATGATTGTACTGATAAGCAAAGGTGCTGCATTCATTGAGGTTTCTGGTCCACTTTATAGGCTTGTGGTGGGTTTTATTGTTTTCCTTCTTCTGTTGACCAACCATCCAAGGTAGTTGAGAGGATATTCCTGTTTCCATTTAATTGATGGGAAATGGGGACTGAGAGATTGCAACTTTCCAAAGGCTCCACCCACCAAGTCTACTGCTAAACTGGCATTTGAACTTCAGTTGCCCAGCTTCAGGTTCAGCACACCTACCTACTTGCCAGTGCTGACAAATCCAACACCTGAAAGAACCCAAAATTATTGTCCTGATAATTGAGACCTCCAGACCTGGAGGGTGGTATCTTACTCTGTCCTCATAGTTGAAAGCGATGGACTTAAGTCCAGTGATTTCATTGAGTCTGCCCTTAGTATGCTGAGCATTGGATATCACCAGAGGCTTTACTACCTGAAGATTTTTGGTTTATTTCCAAACCTATCTCTGTGACCGTGAAACCTAGAATGTTGCTACTTCGCTTTTTTATTACAGAATTCTAACTTTATTGAGCAATTACAAGAGGCAAGAATAAGAAACTGTGCTATAAAAATGGTTTCCCTTCAAGATATACAGTGAGATGGAAGATTCTCAACACCTGCTTTTTTGCATTCTTCTAGCAAAATGTCATAAAAGGGGGCAATTTTTCTGAATAATTATTTCTGTACCTTCCACAACTAATATAATTTATCAACAGACATCCCACAGTGTATCTGACTGTTCTCCCTTCAAGCTTTTCCCTATCAGCAACCAATTTCCCACTGCCTGACATTGGGGAATAATATTACACTAGGTTTTGCTTGGTCTAGATGCATAGAAATTCATGGACCTAACCTAGTCATCTCCATCAATTTCAGTGGGTGTACTCTGAGTAAACTTAGTTGAATACCACCCTTTCCCCCCTGTTTTTCTAGCAGGGACTGTAAAATGCCATCTGTTTTCCTAGGATGGGCTTCATTTCTCTGGGCTTTTTAATGGCATCCATGCTGTAGAGACGCGGGACGCGGGTGGTGCTGTGGGTTAAACCACAGAGCCTAGGACTTGCCGATCAGAAGGTCGGCGGTTTGAATCCCCTCGACGGGGTGAGCTCCCGTTGCTCGGTCCCTGCACCTGCCAACCTAGCAGTTCAAAAGCACGTCAAAGTGCAAGTAGATAAATAGGTACCTCTCCAGTGGGAAGGTAAACAGCGTTTCCATGCGCCTTCCATGTGCTGCTCTGGTTTGCCAGAAGCGGCTTAGTCATGCTGGCCACATGACCCGGAAGCTGTATGCCGGCTCCCTCGGCCAATAAAGCGCCGCAACCCCAGAGTCGGTCACGACTGGACCTAATGGTCAGGGGTCCCTTTACCTTTACCTTTACCTTTACCTATGCTGTAGAGCAGGTGTAGCCAACATAGTGCCCTCCAGATGTTGTTGAACTACAACTTCCATCAGCCCCGACCATTAGTTCTGCTGGTGAAGCTGACGGGAGTTGTAGTACCACATTGGCTATTCCTGCTGCAGAATAAAGTTTCCCTGGGAAAACCCACCAGGCTCTTCCACTGTTTTTCCAGAAGATGAAGAGAGTATTTTAAGACCGTGCTGCTCAAAATTGCTTCCTTTTGTTGGTTTTGTAGTCTTAATTCTAATGTGTGTGACAATATTTAAAAATACATACTGGCAATTTGAAACGTATGCTGCATAGCATCCTGAGCACAAAATTGAAAGGTAACTTAGGCGTTTTATAAATGAAAGAATACCTCCCCCTGCCAAAAGCAAGAACTTAGCAATGGTGAAAGGTTTGTAATGGGGAAAGCTTGCAGTGCGCTGCCCCTTGAGTGTAACTGGCATTAAGAGTATATGCAGTACTTTTCCTGTATGTAGCTTTATCTTTTCCTGAAGTAAACACTGTGAGACTGAGACATGCTAATTCTGATTTATGGGATCCCCAATCATTGCCTCCTTTGTTAATTAATGGTTCTATTGTTTGTTCTTTTTATCAGCCTCAATTTTATTATTTCTCAAATGTGGATTCACTGACCCGTGAATGGTTGTGACTGTTTTTTTTATCTAAGCTTCACGTGTAGGTTCCTTCAGCTCAGAACAAGTGGGTATCAAAGCAGGCTCAGACAACACAATTGTTGCCCTCTTCAGTGATTGCTTCATATCGGATTGCACAAATCTCCCTGTTCATCGGGCTCCCCAAAACCTTGGAAGAAATGAGGCTTAGTATCAGCTCAGTAAATATACAAGTATCCAGAGATAACCACTGAAAGAAATACGTGCCTCTTCTCAGGTGGATAATAATCTACCACTTTTACCGCCTTCACCCACTACTGCTGCTGCTGTTGTACTTAGCACTCCAGCTAAAGTGTAGACACTTCAGCTAAAACTTCTGCACTGCCTGCCCTTACACCCCCAGGCTAGGTTCAAGGTTCTTGAATTGTTATACAAGGCTTTGCACAACCTGAGTCCAGGATGCATTAAGGATCACCTGAGTGCTTACATCCTAGCTTGGTCACTGAGATAGTCCTGGGGAGCACTGTTAATTGTCCCTGTCTTTCAAAAGCCTGACTGGCTTCAGCTAGAAATTGGCTGTTTAGTGTCATGGGTCCCGTGCTATAGAATATTCTTCAGTGGGGATTCAGCAGGCAGCCTTGCAACTAATTTTCAGATGTCTCTTAAAACCCTTTTATGCCAACGGGCCTATTCAGTTGTTTAAACTTATTCAATGTGAGCCAGTCATTTATTATTAGTTTGCATTTCATTTTTATGATTATTTTGCATTGTTTTAATTGCATTTTGTATTTTATTGCACTTACAAATGTTGTTGTCTGCCACCCGGATATTTTATATTAGGAGGGGTGGTCTATAACTATTTTTGTCAATAAAGAAATAAATCTCCCAGCTCTCCTCATCAAAACATTATCCTCCTGTCATTCTGAAGGCAACAAAACCTTTGCTGAATCAGCATATTCTCACTGTACCTATTTGCTAATTGATACTTCTCTGGCTAAGAAATGGAGGCAGTGAGAGATTTTACTTTCTTGGGCTCCATGATCACTGCAGATGGTGACAGCAGCCACGAAATTAAAATACACCTGCTTCTTGGGAGAAAAGCAATGACAATCCTAGACAGCATCTTAAAAAGCAGAGACATCACCTTGCCGACAAAGGTCCGTATAGTTAAAGCTATGGCTTTCCCAGTAGTGATGTATGGAAGTGAGAACTGGACCATAAAGAAGGCTGATCGCCAAAGAATTGGTGCTTTTGAATTATGGTGCTGGAGGAGACTCTGGAGAGTCCCATGGACTGCAAGAAGATCAAATCTATCCATTCTGAAGGAAATCAGCCCTGAGTGCTCACTGGAAGGACAGATCCTGAAGCTGAGGCTCCAATACTTTGGCACCTCGTGAGAAGAGAAGACTCCCTGGAAAAGACCCTGATGTTGGGAAAGATTAAGGGCACAAGGAGAAGGGGATGACAGAGGACGAGATGGTGGGACAGTGTTCTCGAAGCTACCAGCATGAGTTTGACCAAACTGCGGGAGGCAGTGGAAGACAGGAGTGCCTGGTGTGCTCTGGTTCATGGGGTCACGAAGAGTCGGACACGACTAAACAACAACAACTACTTCTCTGGCTTGTCCTGCTGCTGCTGGTCTCTGTCTTCCCACCTCTCCTGGCTTGTCCAACTGATTCAAGGATGGGGAACCTGAGGCCCTGCAGATGCTGTGGAACTACAACTCATATCATCCGTAATAATTGGTTGTGCTGGCTGGGTCTGATGGGAGATGAGAGTCCAACAATATCTAAAGGACCTCCAGGTCTCCAGCCTTGGTCTAAGTGAACCATTTGTATGTTCTGCATAAGGCTTAGTGTAGTCTTAATACCAAAAGGGTAGACATCAGTATTAATTGGCTTGATAGCATCCAACAGAGTGTGCTTTTAATTCATTGAAATGGCTTTCTGTTCTGTCGCACACAGTTAAGTGCAATGGTACTACCAAACCAAATATATATGCTTAGTGGTTATAATTCAATATTTGTTTTGAAAAGGTGTGGCTGCCTACATTAAGATGGCATTGTTTCATTTTGACTCATTTTAGCAAAAATGCTGCTATTTTCAGTAGCACGTAGCTCATACACCCCACAGTAACTGGGTTCCATCTCTCTTGCAGCTGGTACAAATTATTGTAAAGTCCTGTCTGAATGACATTTGTTTCTGAACATGCACAACTGTTAACATTCAAAGCTAACAAGGTGGAAGGTTAGATCTTAGTTTTCAGCAGTTCAAGTTTGTCTTGCTGACGTCACTGTAGGATTGTAAAAATCCCTGACCTTCCTCCAGCATTAAAGCTGACACATTTGGAGAAAAAGAGAGAAACAAAGAGAGAGAGAAACTATTTTTATTAGAGCATGAGGTTGGTGAAGGTCTGTGCCAACAAATGTTGATCGATGGCAAAATATCTTGTCTATTTTAAGCTGATGACAGTATCTTTCAAGAGTTTGCTCCCTTTGCCTTTAACGTTAATGGGTGAAGGTTGCTTGGTGACCCATGATGGCCTTGTTGGTCCCACTACTTTTCCAGAAGCCTCATCCTGGTTGGGGCCAGTATCCAGATATGTTCTTCATAAATGCTGGTTATTAGCTGGTGAATGGCCAAACAGTGAAGGTCGAGAGCCTAGAATTCAATTAATGAGCGGCTGTTCTGAGCGGTGAAGAGTGAGGCTGTGGAGACAGCTGCAGCACTGCAGGTGGATTGAAGGGACAAGAATGCATAGCCATTTTAGATTCAGTTGACTTTGGAAGTTTTGAACTTCTTGTGGCATTGTGAATTCTTTCTCAGATTGATAAAGGCGGTAAAGCATATTTGATGCAGACCCTGGTCTTGAAACTGTGAAAGGTTGGGGTACGTTTTTAGTGTGACACTTCACTCGACGGTTCTCTCTTTATTACTAAAACAGAGAAATACAGGCTATCTGCTTCCTAATTCTCCCCTGCTTTCATGAGAGAACTTTCTACCGCTTGGTGAACTCCTCCTCAACTCATGGGGATCCCAGTCCACGCTATTTGACAAGCTTCAGTAGTCTGCCAAATTTGTAAGCATAGCTGTGCTTACAGCTGTACTGTGAAAGATAAATTGTATGGTTTAGATGCTTAGCTTTCTCTTAGGAAATGTAGTTATGTGAAGCTGGCAGGAATCTTTGCAAAACTGTGTACTTGAACCCATGCACCTGTATCTTTCCACTGCATTCTCATTTCACTCTACTATACTTGCAGTAAAACTGCCTCTGATGTGCCATAGCTTGTCTTGCTAACGTTATGGTGATAGCCACCAACTTGGATGGCTTTAAAAGAGGATTACTCAAATACATGGAGGGCAAGGCTATCAGTGACTACTACCCATGATGGCTCTGTTCTGCTTCCATTGCTGGAGGCATTGTCCCTCTAGGTGCCAGTTTCTGGGACTCCCAAATGGGCAGGGTGCTGTTCTCTTGTCCAACTTCCTGGCTTCCCACAGACATCTGACTGGCCATTGTGAGAACAGGATACTGGATTAAATGGGCTGTTGGCCTGATCCAGCAAGCTTGCCTTATCTTCTTATTGTGCACTGTCATAAAACTAGGCTTCCTCTGGTTTTTTGAGGGATCTCATGAATTAAGTGGACTGGCACTTATTAGCAACCCTATGACTTGGCATTAGATAAAGTCTTCATTGTGTATACTGTGCTACAATGCTAAGCTCTGCTATTATGTAAGCTGCAAACTAATGATTCATGCCAGGTGAAGCCTAAGGTGTGTGTATGTTCAGAAGGTGTGGGCCCAATGTTTATTAGCAACAAGATTGCGGGGGCCTCAGTATCCAGCACTGAGTCGAAGAGAAGTACAGTGCAGCTTGCAAAGGGCATGATGAATCTATAGTTAGTAATCTCCAGTCTAGTCTGTGCTCTAGGTCCTCAAAAGCCTGGTAAGGAGTACTGTGAGAATTACTTATGTGAAAGAAATAGGAATTCTGTGCCAAGAATATATGCATGTTTTTGTTGTTTTTTAAAAAAGAAGTTTAGTACACTAAATGTAGCAAACCCCTAAAAACCGGCACTTGGAATTGAGATCACTGTTATAGGAAGATACTGCCTTTTACCATGGAATGTCAGTTAGACAGCAAATTAATAACTGATTGACATCCTCTGTGAATTTGTCTAATCCTGCTTTAGAGCGACCTGAGCCAGTAGCCCTTACCATAAACTATCCACTGTGTGAAGCTACATGTGCAACAGAATGCAGGACCCTTGGCACATGAAGGGCTGGAGCACCTTTATTACAACAGAAAGCTATAGCATTATGGCTTTTTGCGTTAGAATCAGGGTGAGGAACTGGATCTGCCAGTGAGCCGGATCCCTAATGCCCCCACCCTTTGTGGGCCTACTTTGATAGGATCACCTTCCTGTCAATCACTTGATGTCATAATGATGTCAAAGTTCAGTGGGACTCACTAGAAACCCCCAACCAGCTGCTCAACTGGTGACCTACTTTGAAGGTGCACCCCCAGCTCCAATCAGCTAATTGGTGCTGGAAGCGAAACTTCCAAGGGGCACGCTCCATTTGCTTGAAGCACCATTTTAGCCAAGTGGTTTGAATGCAAACTACTTCAAGAAAACAGAGCAAGTCCATATAAAAGTGAGCTCCCGGTATCAAAAGATCTTTCTCCGCTTCTAACAAAGTCCCCTTGGCTGCTCTAGGAGAACTCCTTAGTGCATCTGATCTCAGTGAGGATTCCTGTCAGCTGATGGGCACTGACGGGGAGCCTCACTTGTAAAAGAACAATTGAGAGCATCAGGCACGGGGCATATGGGCATAATTGATGGAGAACAGTCTCACAGGCCAAATTGGGCCTGTGCCATACCTTAATAGGTTTGCATACTAGAGAGTCCCCACCACTGCTTTAGAAAAAAGGCGACATAGGTGGAGACATGAGAAATGTACTAAAGTTAGACATTGTGTGGAGAAAGCCAGTTATGATTTTCTCCCTCCCTTGCCCACAGTTCCAGAACTTGGGGCCATTCAAATTGATGGGCTGTAGACCTAAGGATGACAGTATTTATTGCAGCACATAATTCATTCTGGAATTTGCTGATCCAATATGTGACTACCACAAACATAGGCGGTTGTTTAAACCACCTGAAAGGAGTTTAGACAAATTTATGGGCAGCATCTCTTATCTATGGCTGTTAATCGTGATGGCCAAACGGGACCACAGTAGAGGGGCAATACCATCAAGCCCTGTGCCTAAACTTTCTGCAGACCTCTGTAGAAAATGAGGTGCTGGAGTAGGTGGACTTTTTTTGTTTAATTGAGCTGGGCCCTTTTTTATATTAAGATGACTCTAGATTTGTCCAGATAAAGTTATATTGCATGGTAAACTAGCTTCTCGGCTGTTGCTGCTTTATGAAACTTGCAGTAGTCAAGCAAAATACCGGTAGCAACCATTTTGCACGGGAGTTCCATTCCTGACCCCTGTGTGCATCAGTGGAGCACACATTAAGTCCACCCCATTCTGCCCCCACCCTTTCAGACCACTTCTAGGTTGGCAGAGACCAGAGTGTGCATGATTGTGCATCAATTGGACGAGTTTAAAATGGTCACTGTTAGTAGTAACATAAACCAGTCCTTGAGGAGTAAATGAACCTTTCATGGGGTTACAGCAGTGGTTCTCAAAGGGTGTGATAGGAAAGGATGGCAAGTGTGGCAGGAAGATTCAAGGACAATCAAAGAAACATTTAAACAATTCAGTGTAGTATAATATAGTATAGTATCAAAGTAATTTATATATATACACACACACAACCAGAAACAGTATCCACACCTCTCTTCAAGAGCATTGGCTATTTATTCTTCTACTATTCTCCACTACATACAGTGAAAAACAGGGAATTGTCATATTTGTCAGTCAAAAATCCCTGATCACTGCATATAGCGAACAGGGATTTTTGACTCTGACAAATATGAGAGATCATAAAAGAGAAAGGTTTCTTTGTGTCAATGAGGAGATGAGAGTTTGTCTCAAATCAGAACTAAGATAAATAAGATTACCCCGCAAAAAAAGCAAGCTCATACCTCTCACTGAGTTTGTATACATACTTAAAGTACATGTGTAAGAGGCTCGTTTATAATTATATTTTGGGAATGATTCATGTTCTTATGTATCTGCATTGTTTTATACTGTATGGGTGTCCCATGATCATATTATAAAGTTGTTGTGTTCTGTGTTATAAATCAAGCACTGCTGGGAGTTGTTTCTTTTTGTTTTCCAATGTATTTCTTATCGATTAAAAAAAAAGGGTGTGGCCATGAACAGATTTTTTTTCTGAAAGTGTAGCCAAGAGGAAAAAAAGTTTTAGAACTAGTGGGTTTTAGAGTATATGACTTTCTTTAAAGAATGGCCATTACTCTTATACCAGATAGGTGCTGCTGTAAAAAATAGCATCCTTTCCTGTGTTGGGTACCACTTTCAGGGCCCACAATTATAGTAACCCTAGTCGGGCATGGCAGCTCAAACTCATGCATTTGTCTTGGCCAGCTCTGAAAGATAAATTATTAGTTGGAGATCAGCATTTAGGATGAACTGCCAACTGGACCACCCAAGTCATGAGGAGAAAATAACTATGAGTGTATGGTTAGCATATAAGTTTAAATAAAGAATATAAAGTAGATTCAAACTTGTAGTGTGGTGGCTGCTTTTCTCCCTTCCTTTCGTGTAAATCTTCGCTTGTTTTTACACCAGGAGCTTATTGCAAAGCTCTTGTATTAACACAGGCAGAATGTGAAAGAATAAAGAGAAGGCTTTATTTGATTTTCTGTGCTTTCATCCATCTTGAATGTTGATATTTGAACAGTACTAGTGATGGTCTATACCGCTGAATTTCAATGGGGAAATGAATTGTAGAAAAAACACATCTGTGCTGCTGAGCTTTTTATTTATATAGTCCATCTTAACTGCAGAGACATCCCATCAGCCTAATAAAATGCTGTGTTCCAGACTGCATGTATACATTATAGGAGCCAAGCAACCCCTTCGTCTGCTTACAAGAACACAGCTTTACATTTTTGACAGGGACATAAATATCTGTTGCTGGAATGTTAAAAGCAGGTTATAGCCAAGAAGTAATGTGGTCAAGCAGGTCATATGGGCTGACTTCCTATAAGTACTCATTCGAACAAAGCTGTGTATTTTCCCGAAGAGCTAAAGCAAGCAGTAATTTTCTCAGTGTATGCATTCTGGTCATAGCATTTGATAGATGACACCTTTGAACAAGGCAGCGGCTTAAACTAGCTGTGGGCCCCCAAACCCTACTATGAGGAAATGTAAATTCTTAAAAGTTCTACCTAGAATAAGTAGATAATGAATAAAATTGCATTTTTTAAAGGACAGAAAGCAGAATAAAGTGGTAGGATCATGAAATGTTTGACTAGGACCTGGGAGAGCCGTGTTCAAATCCCCATTCACCCATGAAGCTCACTGGGTGACTTTGGGCCAGTCACCATCTCTTAGCCTAACCTACCTCACAGGATTGTTGTAAGAATGAAACGGGGAGCAAGAGAACCATGGACACTACCTTGAGATCCTTAGAAGGTGGTATAACTTTAATAACATTTAGAGTATGGTTACCAGATTTTTTTCAATGAATCCGGGGGACCCCCCCTTTTTTTTGGAAGCTGAGTAGCAACAGGGAGTCAGTGGTGGGGTTGGAGAGGCAAAAGACCCTGGGCCCAAGCACACATGCATATCCCGAGCCTTCCCTGATGATCTGACCCCTTCCCCCTTTGTTTTGACAGATTGGGGGAGGCCCAGGAGTCTCGGGTGGGCAGGCGTTGCCCAGGAGGGGCGCAAGGTGCGCGGTTTCTCTGCCAGGCAAGGTGCAAAGCCCTTCTTTCGCACCCTGTGAAACATAAATGCGCAGAGTTTTTTAAAAATTGGGCAACGACTGGCCACAACTACTGAGCCCCCCCCCATCAGTCAAAACAAAGGGGGAAGGGGGCAGGAGATCTGTACCGCCAGACATCCCTGGTTCCCCTTCAGCAGTGGCGGTGGCAGCGGCAGTCAGCAGTCCGGAGCCAGCTTGGTAGTGCAGTTGGTTCTGGCTGGCTTCAGGAGCTGCTCGCTGCTGTGGCGCCTGACATATGATGTCATGGCACACAACATCATATGGGGACTTCCGGCGAGGAAAAATGGCAGGCGCCACAGCAGTGAGCAGCTCCTGAAGCCAGCCAGAGCCAACTGCGCTACCAGGCTGGCTCCGGGCTGCCACATTTCCTGGGGACAGATTTGCAAATCTGGGGACTGTCCCCAGTAACTGGGGACGTCTGGTAACCCTACTTTAGAGTCAAATTACACAAACTACAAAATAATAATTAGGAATAAAAAATAGTAATTGGGGAGAACCTTCTAAAACTTGGTCACGACATGGATGTCTTAGTTCAGGTTTGCTGGCCAATGCTCCCCATGCAATTTGGATGCTGCTCTGCACAAACACTATAATGCGAAGTTGTGCATCCACCCCTTAAGAGTTAACATTCTTTCTGAATTCCCAGGCATTTGGGTCAGAGAGTGGTGAGAAGCAAAGAGAAGTTTAGCATATGCTGTACGCACATAATGCATCCCCTCCAACGATTCTCTGATGAAAATATGGATGTCCCATACCTTAATGATACTTTTACTATTTATAACCCACACATCTTACTGGGTTGCCGCAGCACTCTGGGCAGCTTCCAACATATATAAAAACATAATAAAACAATAAACATTTAAAAACTTCCCTATACAGAATTGCCTTAGCCTGCTTGGGGGTTGGAAAACGCCATACCCTCCAACATTTCTTGGATGGAAATAGGGACATTTGCCAACTTGCTTGTCTTCCATTTGATTGTTCGTCCTCTGTTTCTGAGTAAACAGGGGTCAGTGTGTGTAGTGGTTAAACTAGTGTTGGGAAATGTAGAGTCCAAAACCTACTTAAGTGATCTTGGGCTCCTCAGCCTAACCTACTCCATAAGTGGGGGTGGAGAGAACATGCATGCCATGCTGAACTCCTTGGGGGAATATTAATTCAAAATGTAATAACTGCACATTGGAACCACAGCTAGGGAGGAACAACGCATTCCCCACCCCCACCATCATGCTTGCAAGAGTCTCTTATTGCTCGTGCCTGGAGAGTGTCCTCATGTGATTAGTTCCATAATGCCTTTGCAGAGAATCATCACATCCACTTACTTATACCTGCCTGTGTGTACCTTGCAGCATTAAATCATCACCTGCTGTCCCCTCCCAAGGCACTTCACAGGCTGCAAAAGATTTTTCAGCACCTCTTATACCTCCCAGGGGCAAAAGATTGTGTCACAATAGATTAGGGCTCCTTTGTAGTTCAACTAACATTGATCATGTGGTAGTTTCATTTAAGTATGAGCTTGGAGCATTTGGGTAGGTGAAAGTTGGCCGGCATTGGCAAATCCCAGGTCAGCAAAGATGGCAGGAACAGTTCTTCCCTATCAAGGCCCTTGGTAACAAGAAAACACTTCACATCCACAAAATATGCCCAAGCTTACATAATCCATTGCCAAGCATGTTTAAGAGGCAGAACATCAGTTCATTGTATTAGGTAATTAACACTAATTACTTAATGACAAGTTCCTGTGTGACTCCATAGAGCTGCTCTTCTGCTAGTAGCTCTGTCCTTTTCTTCGCCACATTTACATTGCTGTGCTAGCCTTTCTGTTGGCTAGATGTTTGTGTTGTGGATATCTTTGGGACTCTCTTTAGAGACTAGCTGTACAAATCTTGTGATGTGATGATCTCCTGCCCACCAGAGGATGTTTTGGCTGACGGGAAAATGTGATTTCCTGAGCATCTGAAGAACCAGTACAATTAGAACAGCTCCTTGGTGATGTCTACCTGGTCCGTTGAAGTGAGTTTTTAAAGTAATATGCTCTTTTTAAAACTAGCAAATAGTTTGAGATGGGGTAAGGAAAATACATCATATTTTATATAATAGAAAAAGACTCCAATACAAGGTATTCTACTGGTTTCCTGTACAACTGGGCCTGTTATTTGGGGCCGGGTTGGGGGGTAAGGATCTCGCAATAGGAGAACAGGCTCAATTTAGACACCATGCTAGTTTGTTAAAAATGAACAGATAAGAACCTTGGTTTCATACACTCTTCGCTCCCCTTCTTTTTGATGTGATGGGAAGACGCCAGACTTGAACCATAGCGTATCATTTCGTCTTCATGAGGCAAGCCATAATTTTGTGTCAAAGTTTGACACAAACTTACAAGAGTTTAACCTCCTCCCCTCATATAGAAAGGAAGAAAGAAGTATGAGAGTCTAAGGCTCAGTTGTCTCATTCTCTCATCCCTATCACTAGATTGAAGTAGATAACTTGGAACAGGGATTTATGTGGGTGGGAGGGAAGCCTAGCAAAGAAGTGTAGTGAGAGTGATGCTGGAATGAATGCTGGGGCAGTAATTGTGTTTCAGAACTGGGAACCAAGTTTGATATGGTTCCTTTCCAAAATTATTGCATTTCCAAATCCACCTGAAACAATTTTCCTTTGAAAACTAAAGCAACACCAGCACATATAGTCAATACAAGTGCGCTGCGTCCAAAACCTATTTGCTTAGCTTTTATATTGCATGTCTTGTGATTGTTTAGAGAATATACATTACTGAGAATATTTGTGACTGCTCTGTGAGGTTGTTTGATATTATCCCCTTCTTATATGTTCCTCCTAAGGGTTACCAAAGTGTGACCCTGAAGACGGGGGAAAGAACCTTATTCTTTAGGTAATGCCTTTTCTGAAGGATGTTGTTGTTGTTGTTGTTGATGATGATGATTTTAAGCTTTTACCTGCTCTAAGCCAGAATGGCACAGATGAAAAGCTGAAATAAATGAAATTGAAATAACTCAAGAGAATGGGTGTGTTTTCTCTCATACATGTTGTCAAACTTTCATAGTAGAAGCTGAAATTTTCATACCTTTAATCTAGCTTCCTGAGAGCAAGAAAAAATCACATGGCACACCCTCAGAGAAAAAGAAGTGTCACCTGTGAGACCCTGTGTCACTTGTGAAAGTTGTGCCATTCATCTGCCCCTTGATCTCATTGAAATAATTGCGAATACGATTGAAATGGGTTTATAGCCCCTAACACTTTGCAGCTATACAAACAATCTCAAGTTGCTCACTCCCTGTTTCAAAGCAATGGAGTCTAAGGGGTCGGCAAAGCCGAAAATGAAAAAGAAACTTAACTGGGTGCAAAATTGTGCATTGACTGCATGCTCCTACACAAATAAATAACAGGATCTGTACTGCTGGTGTGCCAATAGGATAGCATGTGGTGCTGGTATAAGTATTTCCCACTATTCTTTGGTTTGAAGGTGCTCCCTTGCCTCTTTTGCTGTGGTGAAGCAGGAACAGCACAAGACGACCCAGCTTAAGGCTTCGATCCTGTGCCTATTTATTTAGATGCAAGCCCTGCTTTGTGGCTCTTGCCATCTTACTGCAGCGGACCACTGTCCTCTAGCCCAGCACTGTCTACTCTGACTGGCAGTGGCTCTCCAAAGGCTCCAGCAGAGTTCTTTCCCATCCATAGTAGCTGAGATCCTTTCGGCTAAAAGGACCTCTACATCAGGGAAGGGCCATGGCTTAGTGGGAGAACATCTGCGTTACATGCAGAAGGTCCCAGGTTCAATCCATGGCATCTTCCATGGAGGCTGGGAGAGAGCCTTCTCTGAAATGCTGGGGAGCTGCTGCCAATGTAGATACCATATTTTTTGCTCTATAAGACTCACTTTTTCCCTCCTAAAAAGTAAGGGGAAATGTGTGTATGTCTTATGGAGTGAATGCAGGCTGCACAGCTATCCCAGAAGCCAGAACAGCAAGAGGGATTGCTGCTTTCACTGCGCAGCGATCCCTCTTGCTGTTCAGGCTTCTGAGATTCAGAATATTTTTTTTCTTGTTTTCCTCCTCCAAAAACTAGGTGCGTCTTGTGGTCTGGTGCGTCTTATAGAGTGAAAAATACGGTAATACTGAGCTAGGTCAACTAATGGTCTAACTCGGTAGTGGGCAGCTTGCTATGTTCTTTCCTGTGTCCTTACATTCTCTACAGCCCCTTCACATACAAATTCAGTGAAATTTACTTCTGGGCAAGTATGCATAGGGGTGGGCTGCAAATTCTAATCATGTTTCTGTCTAAATAATCCCTGAGAAAGCAATGGTGGTTTGCTTTTCTGTGATCGCATCAGGTGCTCCTTATTTTGACCATGATCTAAACCCTTGCTGTCCACCACCTTTTAATTAAGCTTTAATGTGGGTTTATTTACACCTTGGAAGGGCTTGGCCTACATCTTCTCATTACTTGGGGGAAGGCCAAAACTTGAGAACCTTCATTAATTAAAAAGAGCCCAGCTGGATGCTATGGGTGTTTCCCTTGCCCCGCCCCTCTCAGTTTCACGAGAACTTCCTTCATCCTTTTAAAATACCTAAATATAGGACCAGTTCTTTGGCCCCGTTTGACACAGATTTTATTAGGAACTGAATGCACTGAAGATGGGATTGGGGGGTAGGGGTGGGGAGAATTACTGGAAAACAGATGAGCTGTTATTACAGCAATGCTTCTGTAATCTTGAGATGCAAAATGAGTAAAACAATACGTTCTTCAGCAGCCTTCCCCAGCCTGTGCCTTCTGGCTGTTTTTCTGTGCTGTCTGGAGTTGATGTACTCCAAAACATCTGGAGGTACCAGGTTGGAGGAGCCTGTTCTAGATCGTAGAGAGGAGGCGGAGGAGGAAGTTAGCATGTCTCATTAAACAGAATGAAGAGTTCTGCTTAATTCAAAAGCAGAAGTAGTGCAAGAGTCACAGAGCAGTTCCATGTAAGTGGTGTCCACCTGAAGGTTCAGGAAGTACAGTGGTACCTCGGCTTACATACGCTTCAGGTTACATACACTTCAGGTTACATACACTTCAGGTTACAGACTCCGCTAACCCAGAAATAGTGCTTCAGGTTAAGAACTTTGCTTCAGGATAAGAACAGAAATTGTGCTCTGGCGGTGCGGCGGCAGCAGGAGGCCCCATTAGCTAAAGTGGTGCTTCAGGTTAAGAACAGTTTCAGGTTAAGAACGGACCTCCGGAACAAATTAAGTACTTAACCCGAGGTACCACTGTATCCCCTAAGTGTAGAAACAATATTCTCCCCTCTGATGGACCCATGCTTGCCCCAGGGAGCCACTAAGATAAGTTCCTTCAGTCCAGGATCAATCTAACTTCACAAGCCATGTGAAATATTTCAGGTACCACCATGGGCGTAGCCAAGAGGGTTCAGGGGGGCAGCTGCCCCTCCCAAATCAAGTAAATCAATAAAAACCCTTAACTGAGGTTCTGCCCAACATAAATCCTTGCTAAGCCCATGTGTATCACTGAAACAGCTGCTTCATCTGAACTTTGCCCCCCTGCCTTGGGTTCCCTTTTAATGTTGCAGAGGGTGCTGAGGACCAGCCATGGGTCACTCAGCCCTAAACAATCTGAAAGGTGCACATTGCCACACTCCTTAAAGCAAGCAAAATGTTTGGAGTTGACTCTTATTTTCAAGTAATGGAGCAATGTGGGGGAAAGTGCTTGAAATGTGGGCATCTGCACAGAATGGCTGTAATGTTTAGCACATATCCACAATAACTGAATTTATTTCCTGCCTTGGACCATCCTGAGGTTTGGATTTTTGTAGGGGTTTTTTTTAATCCCTACAGCAGGCACAGTTGTTTACAGCAGAAAATAAAACAGAGGATGTTAACATATCCAGTTTGCTGGCTGGCTGGGGCTGCTTTGAGAACAAAGAAGGTGGAATGCAGGATATATTAATCAGGGGTTCCAGTTTCATTAAGAAAAACTGTAGCACATAGCTGCTTTGCCGCAAGAGAAAATGTCACAACATCTTAGTTGGTTTTGCCCTCTTTCTTATTCCATGTGGGTTTTGCAAATCTTGAATATTTGAACACCTAAGGAAGCTGTCTAATCTAAAACAAATAATTATTATCTAGTTTTGAGAGAAAAGCTGAAGGTTCTAGCAGCAGAGGATAATGTCCATACAAGAAAAACCATGTTGCAAGGCTGCAGTCTAATACACACACGTGTGAATAAATCCCATAGAACTCAGTGGGATTTCCCCCTTGAATAATCATGCACAGGTGTGAGCTACAGGTTGGTTGAATATTGTGAGCCTTGAGCATCTTTACTAGGCTACAAATCCTGTTGAGATGTGAAGGGGGTTGCTTCACGTCTTTCGTTTTAAGACCTGGGTGCATAATTGCTCTGGCACTGTAGAAATGGGCCAAGGCATGAGATTGGGGTCAAAATCTGTTTAATCCAACAAACTGAGGATTGGGATATGATACTACTGTACAGTATATGTATTATGCTAAGGAAAGCTTTGCCTACTGCCCTTCACCTCATGGGCAGTAAAACCAAAGCCTCTGGTGCCTTTGAAATCTGGGCACTCAGGAGTCCTCAAGTTCAATTGCCTGGTGTCAGGTGATCAATGCACGTGTGGCTCCACAAGGTTCAGATCTGATAAAGGTGTAGACACACACAGTTTGAAATCCTTGAACCACTTTCTCAGGAGTAAGCTCCGTTAAGTCACTAGAGTTGTGCTATTTAACTCAATTTTAGCCATCGCATCTGTACCTCGCCTTCCTCTAAGGTGGTTGGAGCATCACCACCCACATGATTCCCCCCAGTCAGTCCCCCTGTTTAATTCTCATAACAGCCCTGTTAGGTTAAGTTGGGCAATTGGCCGCAGATCACATAATGAACCTTGCGACTTTAGCAGGGATTTGAACCCATGCCTTCTTGCTTGTCAAAGTCTAGCAACATCACACTGGCTCATAGACATATTTAGGGGCTGCTACATGCAAAGGATAAGGGATGCAGGTGGTGCTGTGGGTTAAACCACAGAGCCTAGGACTTGCCGATCAGAAGGTCGGCGGTTCGAATCCCCGCGACGGGGTGAGCTCCCGTTGCTCGGTCCCTGCTCCTGCCAACCTAGCAGTTCGAAAGCACGTCAAAGTGCAAGTAGATCAATAGGTACCGCTCCGGCGGGAAGGTAAATGGCGTTTCCATGCGCTGCTCTGGTTTGCCAGAAGCGGCTTAGTCCTGCTGGCCACGTGACCCGGAAGCTGTACGCCGGCTCCCTCGGCCAATAAAGCGAGATGAGCGCCGCAACCCCAGAGTCAGCCACGACTGGACCTAATGGTCAGGGGTCCCTTTACCTTTAGCTTTTACATGCAAAGGAAGGCGGGGCTTGTCTCAAGGGTCAGGGTGGGGCAGAAGAGGCGATTGGTGCAGATGCAGCTGCCCTGGCCCACCCCCCCAGGAGTGAGGAAAAAACCAATCACCTGCTAAAATTCCCACTTGGCCGTCACTATTAAAGATACAGGAAGAAGCCTTGTTGTCTTTAGCATCTGATTATCTTTCAGCCCAGCCCTATACACCAGGGGTGGGCCACCTCAGACCTGGGAAACAAATGTGGCCTCTTTGCCTGGTCCTTAAAACTCTCCCCAGGCCACGTCCCTCTTTTCCCAGGCTAGGATGCCTCCTGAACTCCGATAATGCCTCTCGCCTGCCTGGGTAAACGACAGAGAGGGGTGTGTGCAGAAATCAGTCGCCTGGACAAAGGTAAAATTTACATTAGTTGCCTTGCCTACTTTTGCTTCTAGTCCCACCCACCATTGGCATATGCCACACACCCCTAGTTTGCCCCCAAAGGAATGCAAACCTTGGTCTCAGCAAGGTTCCTCACTCCTGTTATACTACTCAGAAGCAGATTTGACCTGGAGTTGTTCCCCAGTAAGTGTTCCCAAAACTGCAGCCTCAAATTCCCCCTAAGCTGCACAAGTGCTGTGCTTGAACTTCAGTTGCTTTGAAATTAGCACTACTACTAGCGGAGCTTGTTGCTGCACTCTTAAAAATACTTGCACATACAGTAAATTAAAGCTCATTTTTATAGAGACGCTCTGGATTTCTAGCGAGTCCCCCCAAACAGTTCCGATAAAGCTGCATCAAACGTGCCACGCAGGGAAAATAGGAATAACCCAGGTGTGAAGGATGCAAAAGCGTTGTGTTAAAAGCAGGCATTTTAGCAGGTGTCACTTGTCGCGCAGAGGTGAGAAACCTGACGCCTCCACAAATTCCTCTTGCAAAGAGCGATTTGCGTAGCAAGTTCCGCCTCCCGCAAAGTGCCACGACTCTTGTTTACTTACTTGCGAAGTCTCATTGTTTAAGCAATAAATCTTTGACCTGAGCCTATGCTTGTTTGCTCAGAAGCAAATCCCACAGCCACCGTAGGGTTTACTTCCAGATACATGCATCCTTTTGCTGCTGTGTAACTTGACTTTTGCTGGGGGGGTCAGCGTGGTTTACTTTGAAGTAAACGTGTATCGGATTGCCGTCGTGCAACCCAACCGTATGCATGTTAACTCGGAAATTAACCCTCAAGTATGTGTGCAGTACACCCTGTGAAACCTACTTTGGGAGTAAAGTGCGACGGATCTTGGCGGAACTTACTTCTGCGAAAGCATGCACTGGATCGGGTTACTCGGTCGCGATCTCGTGCGTTTATTTTGCTGGTTAGGTTGCAAACCTAATTCCGTTTTCCTGGAAGTGAGCCGCACTGGATTCAATAACTTAGGAGTAGACACGGTTAGGCTCGCAGCCTTTGTTTTTGCGATTCACAAGTTAAGCCCGTTTACTTTCAAGTAAGCGCTCCTCGGTAAAACATGCATGGGGTTTGCAAGCTTATTCCTCGGGATCGCGTCGACCAATTTTAGCGGTTTTGCAAAGGCTTCTGATCTCAGCATTTAGAGTTTAGTTTCTTCCTGCGTTTCCAGGGTGCGCGGGTGTTAATACTGACAGTTTGTTGCAAGTTAGGAGAACACGCTAGCCTCCCCTTGGCGTCCTCCTGTGCAAGGCAAACGTCGGGAGGGCTGTACACGCAGAGCCAGTCTCCCTCGGTGCTGCGACGGTTCAGGATGCCTCCTACAGGGGGCTCCAGCCCAGTGGTCCAGCGCCGGTTCTCCCCTGCCGTGGGGAACCTGAGACGGCTGGGCGTGTCACTTAGCCGCGGGCTAGCCAATGGCTCCCGGGCGCCAGGAAGCCCCGCCCACCAGCCCGCTCTTACGCCCCGCCCACTGGCTCTTGGACTGCTCTCCTCGGAGCCGCTGGCTCAGAGCGCGTCTGCGTGAGTCACCTGGAAGCGGGATGGAGCTGTTGCTGCAGCCCCAGCAGAGCTCAGAGCGCGGCGAGGGGCAGATCGTGCCCGAGTAACCGCCTCGCTCGCAGCATCAGGGGGTGGGGAGGGCGGATTACAGTCAGCACAAACCACGAGGAAGCCTTGGAAAAGAAGAGGGGCTATGGTGGCGCACGATGACGCCGGGGGGCTGCTCCCCATTAAGAGGACTATTCGGGTGATAGATGCGCAGAACCAGTCTTTCAGGGAACAAGAGGTAAGGCGTGCGTAAAAAGCCTTAAGCAATCGGAAGAACGATAAAGGGTTTTCTTAAGTGGCACGGTTCTGCATAGTTGCCCAAAGCGTTGCCCAAAGTCCGCTCTTTTCAACAGAAGGAGGTTTGCTTCAGAGTAAGCCTTCAAGGGATTACGCTGCGCGTGTAAGAGGTGGAAGCGTTGATTTGTTTGGCACCTTGCTCCTAAACCTGCCTGTTTAAAAATGACTGAAATGAAGTCACCTGTAGCAGGCAAACGTGGAAGTCCTGTAGAAATGCCGTCAGCTTGCTGGGAGAGGTGCAAAAGAGAGTGAAAACCGTCGGAGTGTCTGGGTTGCTCTCCGTAGGCTAAGGTGTGAGTCAGTGAGTAGAGAGTAGTACTATTTGTACTTTTGTGTCTTGCATACTTTATTTGAAGCTGCTAGCTAAGCATGACTTAACAGCCCTTTCAGGAAAAGCTTCTCTTACAGCTGGGCGCTGTTAAGGAAAGGTGTAATTGCGGCAGGCAGTTCTGAACTCCTTAATTAGGGTGCCAAGTGTGTGTCTCATGCCTTTCCTGTTAAAAGGAAGCTGCTGGGGTGTGTTGAAACCCTTTGGGTATTTGTTGAGGTCTAGGCATTGACCCTGCTTTATTTATTAAGAGGGAGGGACTGCTTATAGCAATGATGTCGAGGAGCCAGGAAGGTATAGTCCTAAAATATTATGCATGTTATCTAAAGTTGCATGCTGACAAAGGCATGAACCATGGAAGGAGAAGAAGGGAAGTCTTTGCATATTCTAAAGTTTGTAAAAAGTTTGTTTTGAAATGTAAAATTGGAAACTTAAGAAAAATGGTTACAAAAAAGAGAAATAAGCTCCCCCCCCCCATCCGTTTACCATTTAAGGAACCTGAAGCAACTGAGCCATTTGTCAGTGGAATTTGGTTGCTCATTCTCTCCTCTCCCCCTAACCTTCTGAGTTTAGCATGGCTTGTTCCTCTTTTACATTAATTCTGCCCACCTCCCAATCTTGTGATGTTGTGTGTATGTATCCTGCAATGGAGTAAGCGGACACAAATGAGTTACAGTATTTCATTGACTGCCAGTAGGGTTACTTGTCTGGGTATGCGTTTTCAAGGGATCAAGCTCCACTGTGGGTGCTTAGTTGTACACTTTAATGGCATTTCCCTTACTGTTGAGTAAATTGGTCTCCAAGACATTCCTACAGGATTATTGCTTGTATGGACGGTGATATGAGGCATAACGAAAGTACTTTAATCCTGCTGAAATGCATACCTCAAGGTGTCTTCTGGTGGGATGGTGGGAATTATGAGAACTCAAAAGTCAAGACTGCTATAAGTGATGCCTTGTGACATATGACATCCTGTCCGGAAGCATTGTTGGTTTCTTTATGATTCAACAGTTCGGCTTTAATAAGGCAGAACTTGGAAGTTGAGTCTAAACATTCTGGTGCGACACACGCAAGGATTTTTGGCAGCTGTGGAGGTGAAATATACCAACTGAAAGCAAACTTCAGGATATTTCTCAGTAAGCTTGCCTTTATTTGTCTGTCTGGATGTTCCATGTACAGGAGACTTTATTAATTTAGGAGGACAGGGCAAAAAACCGTTTTTATGTTATCTGCCAACCTGAAGGTTCAGTACTGTGAGTCCTGACAGGTTATATAGGTCTTGAACGCAGCTTGGATGTACTGCCTGAGATTGCCGAATTGAAGACAACAGGGTGTGTCTCTTTGCCATTTGTTAACCTGTCTTAATTTGGGATATTGCCATAACTTTCCTAAAGTGGATATTAATAGATGTAGTGAGCTGCTTCTCTTCTTGCCGAGCAGATAATGCCATTAGAAATGTACACACAAGCGCTTAGGATTAACATCTTGACTTGATGAAAGAGACTCCATAAATTAGATGTGATGTTTTGAGGAGTGGAGGTTAAGTCAGATTCTTTATTGATTCACCAGTATGTTTATAGGGTTTATGTCTAAGTCATAAATTTGTGACAGAGAAGAGTTTTTGCTTCCAGAGAAACCTTGTAGTTTCTCTATTGGGTTCAGAGATGAACAGCTTCATAGTCCTAAATCCTTTGTTACCCTGGATATGGCAAAATGGTGGAGAGAAACGACTGTCACATGAGCACCTTTGGATGAGTGCTGAGGAACCACGTAAGTGGTCTATTCCAATGGATATCTAACTACAAACAGAAGCATATTGTGGGATCAGACTTTAGTCTTAGAAGTGAATTTCCAGATGTGGCTATCAAGTGTCGGCTTCTTCTTCCAGGCAGCTGGTGTAAAACCTGTGCCCCTGAGCTCTTCAGCTCACATCTCATTTGGCATTAACTGAAAGCCTATGTTTCCCAGGTGTTCTCAGCATTTGGACTTGCTTGCCTGAGAGGCATTCAGGTTCAGTTCAAAGGTTTCATCTGAACGTGACTGATTTGTTTTCTGAAGCAAAAGAAGCCTCTGGAAGAATATTTTATATTCTCTTCTTTGCTTGCTTCTGTGCTGAAGTGTGAAGGCTATTTTCTACACAAGAGCAGGCAAGGATGTCAGATAATGCTCTTTAAAATTCACAACTTGAAAAACTGGTTCAGTCATGCTCTCCATTGCTGCAACTCCGAAACTCAAAGCTTGCCTCCCGATCTCCCATCAGGAACAATGAACAAATTGCTCAAAAGACAATTTTAAAATACTTGGTGAACTATTTCGGTGTGAGAACAGTGAACTCAAAACGTATGCAGTCTGCCTGTTCACAGAGGTTTCCAGAAGAGCAATAATTGTCTAAAAGGGGTGTTGTTCCTTTTTTAAGGCTAAAGAAAATTAGAAGAGGGGGGAAGCTCCTCTCCCCCCAATCTGAAGAAAACCAGTTTTGTTTCTGCCCAGTGTCTGTCTGATTTGGAATGAAATTGCCAAGATGTTGAGTGGTTGAGTGGGAGTGTGTGTGTGGAATCCTTTGTGCTCTGTAAAAAAGGGAAATTTTTTTTGCCAGCCTTGCCACATTTTTGTGCTTCACATTGGCAGTGCTGTGCCATACAGGCATCTATGAAAGCTTAATGTACACACCAACAGCATGGTGCTGTGATACATGCCTGCAACAGGCCCTTGAGAAAAGGAGCTCCCCTGCCAGTTCTCAGTTTTTCCTCTGCAGAGCTCTAGCTTCTGTGTTCTCCTCTTCTACCTTATTTTACAGTGCTGAATTCAGCATATACCCATGTAAACCTTTTCCTTACTCTCCACTTGAAATATCATGTTGCAACACAGCTGTGGAATGCATTGTAGTGCCTAAAGAATGTAGAAGCCACCGTGAAAAACTCATTCTTCTTGGTTTTTTTATCATCACTTTTTGCTTATTTTTTAAAAGAATCAATGTCTAGTCTACCTTTTTAGGCTCACAAACTAAAGCACCCACCGTAATACATTCCACATTGAGCAAATGTGGGGGAATATGTCCTCTTTTTTAGTGCAAACTTAAGTTCGCTTCATCCACCTAAGTCATTAATATAGTGCTTTTTTATTTACAGAGGGCTTTTATATTGGCAGTACCCCTTTCAGATAGTTGCTGCACACAACATTTACATGAGGAAGAGTGACTTGCCCAAGGCTATACAGTGAGGCAAATGGGGCACTCCCAGACCCAACCCCAACCTGCTGTTCTCTGGGCTAGACACGGTGGGAGGAGCTGGTCTTTAGGCTGTAGCTGAAATCTTGCATCTTGAGCAAAGTAAACAGGTTAGATTCACTGGTGAGTCTCTTGGCTCCCAAGCCTCTGTTCAACATATGTGAACTGGAAATAACAGCACCCTGCTTCACAGCTTTAACCGCAAGAACAAATAAAACAGGAAGCATGGTTATCTGTCATGAGTTTTGGTGACCTAGCAGGTCTGTATGAAAGGAGTTCTGCATATACCCATGGACATTAAAATGGCATACTTTTATTTATTTCTTTTTTGTGTGCATTGCTTCCTATGAAACAACTCAAAGCGATTTAACAATAAAACCTATATAAAACAATTTCATATACTGTAGATTTGTGTGTGTGTTCATTCCCCCCCTCCCCCAGTGAGATACATTATGAAACTGCAAGCAAGCAATGATGGGACTTTCCTCTGTCAGAAGGGCTGTCGATGTGCATGTTCCTTGCTTCACCTTTAAAGTGGATCCTGCACTCTGCCAACCCCCCCCCCCCCGTGGAATTCATGACATCATTCCTCCGTGTTCATTGGTATCTTAATGGGAGAGCAAAGCATTGTTGCTTGCTGGGGCTGTACTTTACTGACTCCAGCAGAGCTATTTCTGAATCGTCACTCCTGGACATGACAGTAAAGCCCGACCGACTCAGTCCTTCTCCTTTTTTAGTCCTACCACTTCCTCTGTGCAGCATGTGTAATCTCCCAACCCCAACAACCATTACTATCTGTGCACCTAAGAATGAAGTTGGTCCCACTTTTAATCCCCATGGCAATAGCTTCCACCTTTCTGGTTTCTCTAGGGAGAAATCTCCTGGATTGAAAACATCAAACGAACTTGACCCTTTTCTAGTGTGAAGTAGAGCCGGCTGACAACACAGTCTTGTGACGGGGTTGCCTTCTGCTCTAGCTTCTTGTAAAATTACGGCATCCTGTCAATTCCCCATCGAAAATGAAAGTTTAGAAGGCCACTGCGATTGTGGGTGCTGTACCAAAACTGACAAAGCAACAGGATCCTGCCCAAGGGCTTGAAATCAATTGGGGAAGGGAAGCTGGGCTGGAATTGATAGCCTAAATCAAAAGTACTGGGAGGGAAGTTTGATGAGATCACGATTGTATTTCCAAGGGAGGGGAAATCCCTGTCTTGCAACTTCAAAGTGCAGATGCTGTTTTGGGACAGACTTTGACAATACCTTAAGACATTATCTCTTGAAAGTCAGCCCTAGCAATGACACAGACCTCAGCTATGCAGCCCTAAGGTATTTCAGCAGCCTATTTCTCTTTAGTTCAGGCCTTTGAACATCTCTCTCTCTCTCTCTCTGCACAGTTGTGCCTTGTTCTTGCTTTGGGAATCTGAGTGTCTTTCTGAGAGAGGCATAGGAATGCAAGGATGTATCCCTGCTCTCTGCCTCCAGCACATTGCCTGGCAGTGGTAGCAACACATCTGTAGTGATACACAGGAGGTGGCTGCCAGTGACACACAAACCTATGTGTGAGCAAGCTGCTAGCAAACTGGAGTCATCTTCCAGGGCAGAGACACTCTTCCTTCTTCCACACCTCTCATTAGATAGCTGGTCTCTTCCTTTATTTATTCATGTACTTTGCTGTGGTGGCCTGTCTTACTAAGACACTTCAAACTGTCATGCTAAATTTTGTTTTAACACCCAGCATAGATTTAGGGGCAGAGTCAGAAAAAAAACCTCACACCTCATTCTCCCTGGGGGACAGGCAAAAAAAAAAGTTGGCCCTGAAAACAACTTTGTTCAAGCTATAGTGGACTTTGTTATTCTTGCTTCTTGCTAACCTGAGCAATTGGTTTGTACTATGGTTATGACTTTAGTGTTTAAACAAAATATATTTGTCTTTTGATGGGGCTTGTGTGCTTTGGGATTGGGTGCCTTGATGCTCTGTGCAGTCCTTATCCCCTTCCTCCAAGAGAGTCTGGACACTGTCAGCGCACTAAGTCTTGATTAAACAGTCAGTACAACTTGTTCTCTCATCTATTTGCAGGAGCCTAGCAATAAGCGCGTCCGACCTCTGGCTCGGGTCACCTCCTTGGCAAACCTGATTTCTCCTGTGAGAAATGGTGCAGTGCGAAGATTTGGACAGACAATACAGGTAAGAGAGTAGATAAGCATGTGGGGCTGATATTGCAGTTGTTGGGAGGGGGGCGACTATGGAGTAAGTATTACCCACAGTTCTGCTGAAGAAAGGATTTCTACAGCCTTCAGAACCGAGCCTCATATTCCTCTTTTTACTTTTTAAAATGAGCAAGTTTATAGTCCTCATGGGTCCAGAGGGGGGAAATTGAAGTGGATGTTTGAGGGCATGGATGGCTTCTTTGTCTTCCTTCTCTTCTCCAGTCTCCAAGCACCTCTAGTGAAGCCGTAGGGTGAGGGGGACATAGAAACTTGCTCAGTTCTTACAGTTGCAGAACTTGGATTTAGAATTTTTCCTCCCGACAAATATTTTAATTCAGTTTTTCCACATACCAACTGGCATTTTGTGTCCTAACTGCCTTGTAGTCCACATCTCTGCACAAACCTATAAGCAAGTCATTGGGACAAATGAAATTTGCATGCTTTTGGATGCAGAATTCTTTTCCCCCGGTTACTTTTGCAGATAAGGTAAATGTGTAGAGATGGCCCAGTCAAGACCTTGGTGCAGTTTTATCAGGAGCAGCCTATAAACTGAGGCCAGTGTGCAGGGGGGGGCATTAGATTGCCTCCTGTGCCAACACTTGATGGCTGCATGTGACATACTGCAGCATGTGCTGCAGTCTGAGTTTACCCGGCTGTTCATAATAGAAACGTGACCTCAGCAAAGCCTGCCATGTAAGATATACCATCCACCCCAACTGTGTAAATACTCCTTGCTCTGGATGCTAGTGCTCTTTCAAGCCACAAAGAACACAGCTCACATGGCTTGTTAATGTTACCAGAGCTGGGAGAGGTAGAATTACACTATTTATGTACTTGAAACCAGATTCTCAGCCAGCTTAACCCCAACCCTCTCCAGCTATCCAAAATCTGGAGTATGGGAAGGGGAGGGTTAAGCAAAAGAGGGCATTGGCAAATTAGATCTCTCAAGGCTCTGTGGTGCCAGGATTAGCTACACACACACCCTGGCTGCTGAAGCCATTAAGGGTGAAGTTTCTTAAGGCAGGCCTGCACAATTTGGAATCCACCTCCAGGGCATGGCGTTCTGCTAGGTACTTGACAACTCACCTATCTGTCACTTCCCTAGCGTGCAGCAAAGCCAGGAGACGTTGCATCACAGTGGGCTGCCTTTGGCTCGCACAAGTGGGTTTGTGACAGGTTATGTGGGCTTGATCTTAAGGATTTTTCCACAGGCATTCTTCAAGAGGCTGTTGCATTGACCAGGACGTCGTTGTGTTGTTGTGTTTGTGCTTATGCACACATTTTGCTGGGCTGTGCAACATCCCTGGTTGGCATGAAATGCCTCGTGGCTGTTTTTCTGTACAGCGTCTGTTAAAATACACCTAAGTTCCTAAGGTTCATGACTGAATTCAAACCATCTCCTTCCCCCTTCCTGGTGTCCTACAGTCGTTCTCTCTTCGCGGCGAGAGCAAATCTCCAGGCAGCGCGCAGAAACTGTGCAGCCGGTCAGCTGCCCCCACGCCACCGAAAAGAAGAAACAGTGTGCTTTGGTCCGAGACGTTGGATGTCAACATGAAAGAGACGCTGAGCACCAAAGAAATCAAGCGCCAAGAGGTATGCCTCCAGTGGGGCAACCCCAACAGCCAGCCCCAGATGGATGGGGCTGTTAGAATTCAGCACAGAATTGGGATTTCTGAGCATCTTGGCTGCTGTTTGAGAGGGAAAAGAGCAATATGTTTATAGTCCTCGTGGTCTCCGGAGGCATGTTAAGATGACCTGTCGGCAGTGTAAAGAGAAGCACCCAGTGTTCAGGAGGCAGCAATCATGTTTCCAGCTCCCCATTTATGACAGCTAACCTCCTGCCACCACCATATCCCCAGATCTGCAGAAGGCATTACTTTGCTGCCTGGAATAAGGCAAAGGAACTGGGCAAGTAGATACATGAGAAGAAGATTGCATAAATAGTGTGCTCTCTGGTTTTGCATTTCTATGATGCAGCTTGGTGGTAGTGGGGGAGAGGGAGGAGGCCTCAGTTGTTCAGTGTGTAGAAGATAGTGGCAGAAGAGTTTTGAAGAACTGCTCTCTTCTCCAAAATGAAGGTGCTTCTGTCCCACCACATTCCTTAAAAAACAGATTAAATTCCCCCTCCGAATCTTGACTGATAATATATTCCCCCTGGCCGAGGCCCCAACATGGGAGACAATATACTTCGTATTGGGCATAAAAAAATGATTAATTCTCAAACGCCATCTTTATGACTCATGCTAGCTGGTGATCCAGACCAAAGTTACGCATTAATACAAATGACTGAAGCAGCAAACGAGAAAAAGAGGGCCAAAGTTCAACCCTCTGGGTGAGTTCAGCACTTCACACTGAAGTCTAACGCGTCCCAGTGTTTGATTTGGCATGATCTCGCAGCTTCAAAGCCTCCTTTCACGACAAGGAGTTTACTTTTCTCAGCAATGATTCAAGCCATTCCCTTCCGTTTTGGCCCTTAAGCCCAGGTGGGCGGTTGCAGCTCAACGGTTGAGCTTCCCCCCTTTTGGGCTGCAGAGCGGCTGGCTTCTTGATCAAAACGGTTTGGGCTATACCGGTGGGGCTTGATTGGCTGTTGCTTTGCTGCTGCTTCAACATAAGTGGCTAGTGGAATAGTCTGTGGTCAGCAAAACCTCCAAAACCCGGAAGTGGTACATTTTTTTACTTCAGCAGCTGTTATTTCTAGGGCAATAAAATGGAGACAGTTCTGATATTTCCCCCACTTTTTGTTCGCAGGCGATCTACGAAATGTCTCGGGGTGAGCAGGATTTGATTGAGGACCTGAAGCTTGCCAGAAAGGTTAGTATCTTTCTCTGCTTCCTTTTATATTGATGACACTGCAAATCAATATACCGTATTTTTCGCTCTATAAGACGCACCAGACCACGAGACGCACCTTGTTTTTGGAGGAGGAAAACAAAAAAAATATATATTCTGAATCTCAGAAGCCAGAACAGCAAGAGGGATCGCTGCGCAGCGAAAGCAGCGATCCCTCTTGCTGTTCTGGCTTCTGGGATAGCTGCGCAGCCTGCATTCGCTCCATAAGACGCACACACATTTCCCATTACATTTTAGGAGGGAAAAAGTGAGTCTTATAGAGCAAAAAATATGGTATTTGTTAGCTTTTCACCCCCCACTCCAAACTGCAGCTGCACTGTAATGCCCTGTCAAGCTGTTTTTTATTTTTATTTTTTGTAATTTCCCATCCTTCCTTGTTGACAGGCTTACCATGACCCCATGCTGAAGCTGTCCATCATGTCTGAAGAAGAGCTCACTCACATCTTTGGGGACTTGGATTCCTATATCCCTTTGCATGAAGGTGAGCTTCTCCACCCCAGCCTCCCAAAAACCAAACCTCCAGCACTCATGAATTCATGTAAATGTGCCACATTCTCTGCCCGTCACATCAAAGTACAGTGGTGCCCCGCAAGACGAATGCCTCGCAAGACGGAAAACCCGCTAGACGAAAGGGTTTTCCGTTTTTGAGTTGCTTCGCAGGACGAATTTCCCTATGGGCTTGCTTCGCAAGACGAAAATGTCTTGCGAGTCTAGAGATTTTTTTTTCGCTTTCCCCCCCCCTTTATCTAATCTGCTAAGCCTTTAATAGCCTTTAATAGCCTTTTAGCAGCTAATCCCCTAAGCCTTTAAGCCTATAATAGCCGCTAAACCGCTAATAGCGCTAATCCGTTAAGCCGCTAATAGGGTTGCTTCGCAAGACGAAAAAACCGCTAGACGAAGACTCTCGCGGAACGGATTAATTTCGTCTTGCGAGGCACCACTGTAGCTCAAAAAACCGGCCTATAAAATGTTAAAACCATAATGCATCTGCCACAAAATACTCACATAAAATTCCATGTGCAGACAGCACAGGGCTGCCTATGGCAAAAGCTTTCTGAAAGCTTCAGGTTTTTAAAAGGTAAAGGTAAAGGGACCCCTGACCATTAGGTCCAGTCGTGACCGACTCTGGGGTTGTGGCGCTCATCTCGCTTTACTGGCCGAGGGAACCGGCGTACAGCTTCCGGGTCATGTGGCCAGCATGACCAAGCCGCTTCTGGCGAACCAGAGCAGCGCACGGAAATGCCGTTTACCTTCCCGCCAGAGTGGTACCTATTTATCTACTTGCACTTTGACGTGCTTTCGAACTGCTAGGTTGGCAGGAGCAGGGACCAAGCAACAGGAGCTCACCCTGTCGTGGGGATTTGAACCACCGACCTTCTAGATCAGCAAGTCCTAGGCTCTGTGGTTTAACCCACAGCGCCACCTGCATCCAGTCAGGTTTTTACCTGACTGTAAATTGTCCGTGGCGAGGGCTGTTTCATACACCCACCAGCAAAGTGCTGCTGAATGCCACTGCAGAGAGAAGGGCTGGCCAGCTCCTCCAGCAGACCTCTTCTGCGATGTGGAGCAGGGGTTTTCTGCAGATCTAAAGCCACATGAGAAGAAGCCTTCTCCGTGGTGCAGAGGTGGAAGGCTTTGAACGTCATCCCCAGCACTCTGCACTTGCGTTGATTACTGTTTTAAATGTGAATTAAAAAAAATATGTGTATGTTGAGAAGAGTGTCCTGGTACTAATCCCCTTTTGTGTTTATCTTGCAGACTTTCTGGCCAGGCTGGGGGAAGCGACGAGGCCAGATGGGACAGTGGAGCAAATTGGACCCATTCTTGTGAAATGGGTGAGTGACCCTCGGATCTCTCTCCCTCTGTCCCTTACGGGAGATCAACCATCCAAAATTCATGGGAACATTGGCTTTGGAAAGTCATGAGATCCTACAATTAAGCTGACGTGTGTTGCTCCGGATTTCATTTGCATAATGAACTTTTCAAGCCGAATTGACTTGCATTTCTGTCTGGTTGCTTGCCAGTTAATTTGAGATGAGCAACGACAACAAACATCTGAGGCCTGCTTCTCACGTTATTCGCCTCCTCCCAGCCTCAGTTACTCATCTACAACATGAGAATGATAGTAACCTAACTTACAGGGCTGTTGTGTAAGGGTTACTGAGATAACCTGTATGAAGTAACCTGGGCACTTGAAATAAACCGTGCTAAAAGAAATTTTGTACACTGCAACTGTGAACAGGTATATTAGCACTCCAAAAAGACAGAAAGGATTTGCTGTGAAAATTAAAAACTAAGAAACAAGAGAGGGGAGGAGGAGGAAGTCTAGAAAGGAAGTTAATGGAGATGGTAAAGAACTACATTTTTCTATTTTTCTGTTTTTCTTTTTTTCTTTTTGCGGCTGGGTTTTCTTTTCTTTTCTTTAATATTTTTGTATTACTTTTGTTATTTTTGTATTTTCAACTTTTTTTGGAAATTTTGTTGTTATCCTTTGAAAATTTAATAAATATCAATTTAAAAAAAAAAAAAAAGGTATATTAGCACTCCAGGCTGAAAAAGTACGGTATATGATGGAGTTCATAAGTCCTCTCTTGAAGTTTTGCACTTTTGAAGATCTTCACATGAGGGTAGATGGGCTTCACTTAACCAAAAGGCAGCTATGAACTCCAGAGGAATTGGCTATGGAATGTGCCCCTTGCTTTCTTCTCTCCCTGCTATATTCTTCACAGTGGGAGCTGCATAATTGGAATTCCTCACGTTCATATAGAACACTGTAGTGCACCTAGCAGATTGCCTGACTCATTCAAGTGGGGAGGGGCGGCAGTTCTGAAGCAGCAGTTTACAAATGCCCTTGCACCGTCTTTTCTAGCTACCAGGACTGAATGCGTACAAGGCCTATTGCAGCAACCAGTTGGCAGCTAAAGCTCTCCTGGACCAGAAGAAGCAAGACCGCCGAGTCCAGGACTTCCTCCAGCGTTGCCTTGAATCTCCTTTCAGCCGCAAGCTGGACCTCTGGAGCTTTCTGGATATCCCTCGGAGTCGCTTGGTCAAGTACCCTCTCCTCCTGAAGGAAATCCTGAGGCATACACCCAACGATCACCCCGACGTTCAGATTCTGGAAGAAGCAGTAAGTGCCTGGGGATTCTCTGCACAGAGCTTCTAATATATTAATGATTGTAGAGTTGAAAGGGAACCCCAAGGGTCATCTAGTCCAGCCCCCCGCAATGCAGGAATCTCAGCTAAAGCATCCATGACATATGGCCATCCAACCTTTCCTTAAAACCCTCCGGTGAAGGAGAGTCCACCACCTTCCGAGTGAGTCCGTTCCACTGTCAAACAGCACTTACTGTCAGAAAGTTCTTCCTGATGTTTAATCGGAATCTTCTTTCCATAGTAAAGTACCTTTTTAAAACCAAGTCCCACCTTACAAACTGTCTCTTTCTTGCAGTTTGTTGAATGATGGATCAGATTAGGTGGAAATGGCCACTCTCAATTAGTACTAGTTGACGTTCTTTTAAATACGTTGTTAAATGCGGCAGGCCCAACACCAGGCACAAAAGCAAAGGGAGAGGTCTGATTCGTGGGGGTTCCAGCTGCCAGGAAGTTCTCCTGCGCAAGTCCCATTGAAATGGGTTGGGAGCTTTGCAAGCACAAAGCAGTGCTCTTCCAAGGGCTTCTGCTCACCGCGGTGCAGTTTTGTAGGAAACTGCTTTGTGTGTTGTACTCCACTTGCCAGTTGGAGTTTCTACCCCAGCCCCAAAACGTCTTGGGCAGTCCTGCTTGGCTCAAGCAATTGAACATTCTGTTTCTGTTTTGTGTTGTGGTAATCGTCAGGGGTCCCTGTACTCGGTTGAGTAAGGCCCTGTCCCATGTATCTTCCCAATCCATTGCCTGTATTGAGGCCTGTGCTCTCGCTGCCCGACTTCAGTTATCAAGCAGCATTAATTGGTGGACGCTTTGCTTTTAGATCTCCATAATCCAGGGAGTCCTCTCTGACATCAACTTGAAGAAAGGGGAGTCTGAATGTCAGTATTACATTGACAAGCTGGAGTACCTCGACGAGAAGCAGAGAGACCCACGAATCGAAGCGAGCAAAGTGCTGCTTTGCCACGGGGAGCTGAAGAACAAGAACGGCCATGTAAGTACCTGATTTTACAGAGGTGATGCTACAGATGCTTCCATCCTGCAGCCACAACACCTGCCAAGGAACTGCAGAGTGAAACGGCACCACCTTAAAGCAAAGGGTGGAATGGTCCAGAACTTGGCCTGTCTCAAATTCTTGAGGGCGGTGCATCTTTTAACCCTCTAGAAATAAGTGCCCAGGATCTGCCACTTTTACCTCTCAATCTGTTCTCTCTTTTTTAAAAGAGAAGACTATCTTGCTGTGACAGAATTGGCACCCCTTTCCCCCCACTTTCTTTCCAGCCCTTGACTTTGGTTCCAGGTCATTAAAAAACCCATTAAGAGGCATCAGGCAACAATTAAGACACCGAAAGCAGGGCTGGCATCTGCCCAGGTTGCAGATGGCTGTGAAATAATTAGCATAAAGTTACTACAGAAAGCACGGCACGCATTTTGCTGGGGGGTCAAGAGGTATTTCCTGCGGGCTCCCAGTGATGTAATGCATCCCTTAGATTCTTCCAAGTATGTAATCTTTTGGGCTTGAAGAAAACTGACGACAGCTTAGAGTCTAAAGCGGCTCTCTAAAAGCTTGGCCGGTGCTGCTGCTCAAAAATAGAAGCTGGAACCTGAAGGGGTTGCTTGGCCTTCCTCCCAGCTATGAGCAAAACGTCTTGTCATAGGTCAGCGCAACCTATTTTGTAGTCAAAACTATCTTGTGTCTCCCTGGCTGGCAGCCCTGCATCATTAGTGGCTCTGGCAATGCGAGTCCTCTAGCGTTATCGTGGTTGTCTGCCTATGGAGATCTGGTGCTTATTTGGAGTTGTTCCGCTGACCCAGTTTGCTTGAGCATTTTCTCTGACTGCCAGCACAGACTCCTGTGCCTTGGGCAGGTCTTTCAAGCAAGGGCCCCTTGGAGCCTTTCAACTGGAGAAGTGCCTAATACCGTATTTTTTGCTGTATAAGACGCACCAGACCACAAGACACACCTAGTTTTTGGAGGAGGAAAACAAGAAAAAAAATATTCTGAATCTCAGAAGCCAGAACAGCAAGAGGGATTGCTGCGCAGTGAAAGCAGCAATCCCTCTTCTGTGATAGCTGTGCAGCCTGCATTCACTCCATAAGACGCACACAAGATTTCCCCTTACTTTTTAGGAGGGAAAAAGTGAGTCTTATACAGCAAAAAATACGGTAATTCTGCATGTAGCATGTATATATATGTATTTTGTTCCAATTTAAGATCTTGACCAAAGCTTTCCCTCCCCCCTCCAGAAGCTCTACGTCTTCCTTTTCCAAGATATATTGGTTCTAACTCGGCCTGTGACACGTAACGAGCGTCATTCTTACCAAGTGTACCGGCAGCCGATACCCGCTCAGGACCTGGTGCTCGAAGACTTGCAAGATGGCGACGTGAAAATGGGAGGATCCTTTCGAGGTGCCTTTGGCAATTCCGATAAAGGTATGAAGCAAATAGGCTCACATCCTTCGACAATTCTGTCCGAAGGCTGGCTTGTATGCAGCTGTCTTTGCTTTAATGGGAATTTGTCGGGATTAGTCTCCTTTCTCCTGGATTTTGGCATAAGCTTCCACACAAATCCAGATTGGGACTTGCCAGGCCCTGAAAAAATATTCACATTGGTCCTGAATATGACTCATGATTTGGATGTAGGTCAAACATTCGTGAAAACCTTTCAGCAAATGAAAACCGCTGGGTGGTGGGGAGCTGGGAGGGAGATTTTGGAGACTCAGGAATGTGTGTCAAAGTAGTTGGGCAAGCGAACCTCTATGACCATTGCTCAGTTAAAAAGGTAAAGGGACCCCTCACTGTTAAGTCCAGTCGCGGACGACTCTGGGGTTGCACGTTCATCTCGCTTTACTGGCCGAGGGAGCCGGCGTTTGTCTGCAGACAGCTTCCGGGTCATGTGGCCAGCATGACTAAGCCGCTTCTGGAGAACCAGAGCAGTGCACGGAAACGCCGTTTACCGTCCCTCCGGAGTGGTACCTATTTATCTACTTGCACTTGACATGCTTTCGAGCTGCTAGGTGGGCAGGAGCTGGGACCAAGCAACAGGAGCTCACCCCGTCGCGGGGATCCGAACCACCGACCTTCTGATCGGCAAGCCCTAGGCTCTGTGGTTTAGACCACAGCGCCACCCACATCCTTATTGCTCAGTTAACTCGTGTCAATCAGCATTCTTGAAGCTCCATTCTGATGACATCTCTCCTCCCCTTGTTTCCCCCCTCTGCAGCTAAGAACATCTTCCGGGTCCGCTTCCGAGACCCAGCTCCCGGCCAGTCCCACACGCTGCAGGCCAACGACATCTTCCACAAGCAGCAGTGGTTCAACTGCATCCGGGCGGCCATTGGGCCTTACCAGCTGAGCGCTGCCCCTTGCGAGCTCAAAGAGCTGCCGGAGCTCAGCGAAGAGGCAGAGGAGAACAACCCCGCTGTGCCCAGTGCCAAAATCAAGAGGAGGCCGTCCACCCTCTCCGGCAGCCTCCACATGGAGCTGGACGAGAACGGCGTGGAGTGCAGCTCAGTCACGGACATGGCGGCGGATGAGGCCAAGAACCCCAAGCCGTACCGGATGCACTCTGGGCTCCGGAGGACGAGGGAGAGAGCCCAGCTCAGTGGCAAGCGGAAAGAGACACTCGTTTGAAGGGTTCGGAAGCCCTTCTCCCCCCTGTTTATTTATAAATAAAAAGTGTACATTTCCTTTCCTGTAATGTGAGGATGGTTACTCCTTCTGAATATAAATGTCTGTGGTCTTTTTGTTTGTGTTTTCGTTCTCCTTTGATGGCAGCTACTGGTTTTCAGCAAACACTGTTGAACTAGAGTCTGGTTCTGTAAAGCAACGACTCTGATTTTTGGGGTTACAAAGTGGGTTTTGAGAACGTTGCATCTGTGAGGAACGTTTTGGAGCAAGCTTCAGCTGTTGCCAAGGAGCTGTGAATTTTTGAGGCTTGATTCCCAAAGAAAATAGAGCAGACCCATCTTTAAAAGCGTGTTTTATTTCTCTCTCAGCAGTTCTACATGGAAAAATGCTCCTTATTTAAAATTTGAGTTTTCTTTGGCTTGTGGAGTGATTCTGATTGATGCAGTTCCCCCTAGGCTGTTAAATCTGGTTTATTTCAGCCCTTACTATAGAAGGAAGGTGGTCTGAGACCTGCAACCCACATTTCTCAGAGAAACAGACTCCAAAGTTCAACAGGTTTCCATTTTACTGACTGGAATTCTGTACCTAATTTTTGTTTGTTCGTTGTACATTCCTTGTGTGAATTGACATGACCTGCCAAGTATTTAATCTTGTTTTATTATTATTATTTTTACCTGAATACATTTGTAGAGAACTTTTGTACTTTGATTTCATTGTATTTCTCAACATCCGAATTGGCGTTTTTCTTCCTTTTTTTTTTTTAAGTACTTGATGGGTGTGTGTGAGTGAGAAGAGAGCATGTGTTGGTATGTTATGTATATTTAAAAGCCAGTTCAGGACTTTTCAAGGTGAAACAAAGCCATATGTTCTTGAGCCATTGGAAAAATGGGAGAACAGAGTTTTTACCCCCATCCCCCAAACTGACCTGGGGTGCCTGTGCCTTTAAAACAGCTCTACTTCAGCAGAGAGAAGGTGCCGTGTAAGCAGAATTCTGTATTTCCTTTTAAAGGTACAGGAGAACCTAGGTGGTCCGCAAGTTTGGCAATCTTACGGGGAGGGAAGATTTGAGGTCCGTTTTGATGTAGCATTTTGGGTTGGCCACAGGCCCGTAGAGTGCCTTGTGTACTCCGAACTACTGAAAGCAGATCGCAGTGGACGCAGAAGGCTTAGGGAATGTCGCAGAAGGTTTAGGGAAAGAGGAGATTATACTACAGAGAGCACAAAAGGGATGAGGTCTTTAGAAGGGGAGCATCAGAAAGGTGCATTTGGAAGCAATAGGAGGCACAGTGTATGTAGCAAGACTTGGTAGGAGGTGGTGTTAGCGAGGAAACGGAAGGAAACGGGTGAAGTCCTTACTTGCGGTTTTGAGGTCGTCCCCCCTCCTTAATTTCAAGGAAGGAGGGCAGTTTACCTTAGTGTAACGCAAACTAGCAGGAAGAAACTTTGAACGCTTCTAGTAGAGCATCTGAAGCACTTCCAAAAATTAGCCGAGTTCTGCAAGTTTTCTTTTTCTTTTTGAGGGGGAATTTCTGGTGCAGAAGAACCATCAGGCTAGAAGCTAGAATGGGGATGAAATTCTGGAAACAAATGTAAATGATAAAACAACCAAAGCACAACGACTCTGTAAAAATGTTTGTGTTTTTGTACAGTGTTAAGTGTGGTGTACAATTAAAACTTCCTGCATATTTCCTTGTCTTTCATCATTAATGTGAGAGTGGTTTATCAGGCACGTCAATCGCCAGCTCTCCAGGTGAAGCAGAAAAATATCACTGCCATCTTTTAACTCCAGCTGTGGTTCAGATACCTGGGTTCCTATCCCAATGGGAACATCTAACCCAAACCTGTTGGTGTGTATTGTACTATCCTTATCACTCTCATTTTTTCCGAGAGGGTTCCTTTTCTGTATTTTGACAGTAAACACATAGTGAAGCAAATTGGCACTTGACGTGAGCTCTGTCACGCAGCTTTGAGGCTGCATCACCTGAAAACAGCACATAATATTTATCTTGTGAAACATATTCCCTTACAGTAGGCTGGATTATCGGTCTCTTTACTGAGCCCATTGGCCTATTGTGGGCCCAAAGTTCATCTAGCTTGATGGTTTTAGTTCAAAAAATATCTCCATCCATAATTAAAAGTCGAGATGAGCTTGTTGCAAGCTATATGGGCTTTGCTGCTGGGAAATGAACCATAGAATTATAATATATATATATATATATATATATATATATATATATATATATATATATATATATTATTATAGTTTCACAAAAAAAGAATCACATTAATAAAAAAGAAAAATTAAGAATAAAAAGCAAAATACAAAATACAAAAGGAAAAAAGAAAAAACAAAGTAAAAAGAAAAAACAGTTAAAAAAAAAAATTCCGTCTTTTCATGACTTCTTTTACATTTACTTGTTTCCCGGACCTCCTCATACCTCCCTCTTTTGTATTCCAATTCAGTTAGTGAATCCAGCAATTTCTTTCCCTCTTTTTTAATCCCAGTCCTTAATCTTAATATATTATAACATTAAGTTTTAACCTATTAAAAACCAATTTTTCCATTCTTTTAACCTTTTTAATCCTAATCCTTAATCTTGATATATTTATAACTTTAAAGCCTGTACAGCTAGAAGCCACTTAACTTCAATCCAACATCACTCTAACATTCATTAATTTTGCAATATTTCTGTAAATAATCTTTAAATTTCTTCCAATCTTCTTCCACCGACTCTTCTCCCTGGTCACGGATTCTGCCAGTCATTTCCGCCAATTTCATGTAGTCCATCATTTTCATCTGCCATTCCTCCATAATTATAAGGCAGGAATCTTTTGCCCAGCGTGAGTCTCAAACCCAGAGCCCTGAGATTAAGAGTCTCATGCTCTACCCGACTGAGTGAGCTGGATGTGGCAGCAATGCTTGTTGACAGTAAGGGAATGTGTGCATTCATAGGAAGCTGGCTTATGTGGAATCAAACCAATAGTCCACCTTTGCAGTCCTACCTGAGGATTCTGGTAACTGTCTCTGGGACCTTATACATGCAAAGCATGAGTTCTACCATTGAACTACTGCCCTTCCCCAATTCCCAGCACAATAAGAAGCTAGCATTGCATACACAAACAGTCCAAGGCAACTTGGCTGTAAATATTTGCATTTTTAAAAATCCCTCTTGCTTGAAACTGATGGCATGACACCTACATAATAACATTAAAGGTAAAAGTTAAAGAGACCATTGGGTCCAGTCGCGGACAACTCGGGTTGCGGCGCTCATCTCGCTTTATTGGCCAAGGGAGCTGGTGTACAGCTTCTGGGTCATGTGGCCAGCAGAACTAAGCCACTTCTGGCAAACCAGAGCAGCGCACGGAAACGCCGTTTACCTTCCCGTCGGAGTGGTACCTATTTATCTACTTGCACTTTGACGTGCTTTTGAACTGCTAGATTGACAGGAGCAGGGACCGAGCAACAGAAGCTCACCCCGTTGCGGGGATTCGAACCGCCGACCTTCTGATCAGCAAGTCCTAGGCTCTGTGGTTTAACCCACAGCGCCACCCGCGCACTGCATTACAAAGATGTCTCCGTCAACTCCGCCATGTGGGAATCCCTTGTAGACTACTGCAGTTGCCCGGAGATAGGCAGAAAGTTGGTGCATCCACAGCAGTGACCAGAGGAGGAATGACTGCCGGGAGGAGGGCAGAGAGAAGAAACGCTCTGGTGCATCCGCAGCAGCACAACCGGACGCCTTCCTCTGCGCCAGCTGCAACAAAACATGTCTCTCCTGTATCGGTCTGCCCTGCTTCCTGACATCCCTAGAACACGCCAGGTGGCTCAACCAATCTCGGAGTGATCTGGAGCTGTCACCAGCATCCTTGCTGAAGCATGGTTTTGCCAAATAGGCCCGATTCACTCTGGCTTCAGCTGAATCCGGTACACGGCTCTCCCAACCACCCTTCACTGGAAAACTGGGCATGCAGTCCCTCCCACTCCTTGACTCCATACTGGTCTGGGATGCCTGCAGCAAGGGGAAGAGCGGGTCTCCCAGAGCAAGAGAAAGCCTCCAGACTTCTCCATCCCCCAACCTTTTACGTTCCGCTGAAATGAAAGCGCACGAGGCTTTGCTTCTGTTCGAAGGTGCCCTCTGAACCCCAGAAAGCTCGCGCGGTTATTTCCTCCGCCCAAGTTGTAATCGGCACGCTCTGTTCAAAGCGGCGTCTGGCTTTTGTGTCTCGCTGTGCGTGATGTGCTTTTGGAAAACATCTGGTCCAGAAACGTTTTATTTAAAAGGGGGAGGGGGACACACAGTTGAAGCCTAATTGTTTTCAGCTGCTGAGCTGCACGTCAGACGCCGACCTGCTTTGTAATGAGGCTGCGGGTACCACTTGCGGCTCGTGTGCCGTTCCTCCTTGAAGCTGTGCAACAGCTTTTCCCCGATCTCCCTTTGCATCTCCCAGCTGCATCCTACCCTAACCCCACTCTGGTAACAGAGGGAAAATCCAGCACAAAACCACAGGTTGCCCAACTAGCAATGATAGCTATTGTTCTCCCTCTCGCATAACGCTGGGGCTTTTGGACATGCCATGAAACTGAATGCTGGAAGATTTGTTGTTTTTTTTTAAATGATATTTATTGAAATTTCAAAGAATACAAGAATTACACAAAAACAAAAAGTAAAAATACAAGAAAATACAAAATACAGAAAAAAGAATTAAAAAAACCCTTAAAAATAAAAAATAAAAATAAAAAGAAAAATAGATCAATCTTTCCATAACTTACATTCATATCCTTGTTTCCCTAACCTCCTCATACCTCCCTTTTTTGATAGTTAGAGATATTTATTAAAGTTTTTAAGGTATAACAAAGAAATGAAAAATAAAAAGAAACATACAAAATAAAAACAGTTAAAAACACATTAATTTTCCATAGCATATCTTCCTTACACTTATTTCCCCGGACCTCCTCGTACCTCCCTTTTTTGTATTCCAGTTCAGTTTGTTAGCTCAGCAAATCCTTACCATTAAGCTTTTACCCATTTGTGAACCTTTTTCGTATCTCTTAAGGCATTACAGCTGGAAACCACTTAGTTTCTATCCAACATCCTTCTAAGATTCATTAATTTTACAATATTTCTGTAAATAGTCTTTAAATTTCTTCCAGTCTTCTTTCACCGACTCTTCTCCCTGGTCTCGGATTCTGCCAGTCATTTCTGCCAATTCCATGTAGTCAGTCACCTTCATCTGCCTGAATGCTGGAAGATTTGGGACAGATACAATGTCCTTCACACAGCATGTAATTATTATTATTATTATTATTATTATTATTATTATTTATTTATACCCTGCCCATCTGGGCGGCTTCCAACGAAACACAAAAATACAATAACCTATTAAACATTAAAGGCTTCCCTAAACAGGGCTGCCTTCTAATAATAATAATAATAATAATAATAACAAAAATAAATTTTATTTATACCCTGCCCTCCCCGGCAAGAGCCGGGCTCAGGGCAGCTAACACCAGTAAAATTACAAAAAGAAAAAAGGGGGGGCACAATTTAAAATACAGGTTAAAAATACAATTTAAAATGCAGCCTTATTTTAATAATAGCCCATAGATCAAAACCATAAGGGGAGGGAAACATAAGGGTCAGACCGAGTCCAAACCAAAGGCCAGACGGAACAGCTCTGTCTTGCAGGCCCTGCAGAAAGATGTCAAGTCCCGCAGGGCCCTAGTCTCTTGGGACAGAGCGTTCCACCAAGTCAGTACTGAAAAGGCCCTGGCCCTAGTTGAGACCAATCTAACCTCCTTGAGGCTCGGGACCTTCAAAGTGTTGTTATTTGTGGACCTTGAGGTCCTCCGCAGGGCATACCAGGAGAGGTGGTCCCGTAAGTACGTGGGTCTCAATGTAGTTCAACTATGGAACTCACTGCCACAAGAAGCAGGGTTGGCCACAATTTTGGATAGTTTTAAAAGAGGATTCAACAAATCCACAAAGGAGGAGAGGGCTATTGAGGGCTCCTTGATGGCGATATCCTCCCTCCAATTGCAGAATCAGCAGTGCTTCTGAATACCAGAAACTGCAGGGGGGCAGGGTAACTGTTTGCAGGCTTCCCCTTGTGACATCTGGTTGGCCTCTGTGGGAAGGCGATGCCGGGTTAGATCTATTTGGCCTGATCCAGCAACTAGCCTCTTCTGGTCTTCTTACATTTCCGAGCACAATTCGAAGTGTTGATGCTGACCTTTAAGGCCCTAAACAGCCCCGGTCCAGTATACCTGAAGGAGCGTCTCCACCCCCATCGTTCTGCCCGGACACTGAGGTCCCGCTCCAAGGGCCTTCTGGCTGTTCCCTCACAGCAAGAAGCCAAGTTACAGCGAACCAGGCAGAGGGCCTTCTCGGTGGTGGCACCCGCCCTGTGGAATGCCCTCCCAGCAGATGTCAAAGAGAAAAACAGCTACCAGACTTTTAGAAGACACCTGAAGGCAGCCCTGTTTAGGGAGGCTTTTAATGTTTAATAGACTACAGTGGTACCTCGGGTTAAGAACTTAATTCGTTTTGGAGGTCCGTTCTTAACCTGAAACTGTACTTAACCTGAAGCACCACTTTAGCTAATGGGGTTCCCGCTGCCGCCGCATGATTTCTGATCTCATCCTGAAGCAAAGTTCTTAACCCGAGGTACTATTTCTGGGTTAGTGGAGTCTGTAACCTGAAGCGTCTGTAACCCGAGGTACCACTGTATTGTATTTTAATATTCTGTTGGAAGCCGCCCAGAGTGGCTGGGGAAACCCAGCCAGATGGGCGGGGTATAAATAATATATTATTATTATTATTATTATTATTATTATTATTAACTGCAGATGTAACCGAAGCACATTGTTTGGGCAGCTGTTTTGTTTCTTTGCTCTCTTGGTGGCCTTTGCTGGGTGACATCAATCACACCCCATCCCCTCTGTCCATTGGCGAGGGCCTCCTTGGTAGATCACAGGTGGGGCTGGCTGCGACACAAAAGGAGATTTGATTTCTTTTTAAACAAAACCAAAACCAAACCCCACTGTTTTGTGCAAGTCTGACATATCAGAAAACTTGTACAGTGGTGCCCCGCAAGACGAATGCCTCGCAAGACGGAAAACCCGCTAGACGAAAGGGTTTTCCGTTTTTGAGTTGCTTCGCAGGACGAATTTCCCTATGGGCTTGCTTCGCAAGACGAAAATGTCTTGCGAGTCTTGAGATTTTTTTTTCGCTTCCCCCCCTTTTTCTAAGCCGCTAAGCCTTTAATAGCCTTTTAGCAGCTAACCCGCTAAGCCGCTAAGCCTTTAATAGCCGCTAAACCGCTAATAGCGCTAATCCGCTAAGCCGCTAATAGGGTTGCTTTGCAAGACGAAAAAACTGCTAGACGAAGATACTCACGGAATGGATTAATTTCGTCTTGCAAGGCACCACTGTACCTAAAAGAAATAATAATAATAATAATAATAATAATAATAATAATAATAATAATATAATAATAATAATAATAATAATAATAATAATAATATAATAATAATAATATATAATATATAATATAATAATAATAGTAGTAATAATAATAATAATAATAATAATAATGCACACAGGTAAACAGATACATGTCCAGATTGGACTTAATGTTTCCAGAAATCAGGGAGGCTGGGGAAGTCCTAATTCCCCAGAGTTGGGGGGTGAGCAGGGACAACAGCACATGAAATGTGAATACACCCCCACCAGTCACCACCCACTAGTTGAAAGCTCTTGTGTGCAAGCAAACACACAGAAGTGCACATGGAAAAAATAAATGTGCGTGTTACCAGTCTAGTGTGTGCACCACCTAATGCTGGATACCACCTTGTGGTTTTATTTTATTCTTCACTAACCTAGACAGCATCTTAAAAAGCAGAGACA